CTTCCCGCCTTTAATTGAACCTGAAAAAGTTTGAAAGGCCTGCGAAAAATTAAAAATTCAAAATTTGGCCTTGGCTGTGATCGTTTAACAAATGGGAACCTAGGTTGTATGTGTTTGTTTTTTTTTTAAGTGATGGGAAGACGTTCTTTCATACAAGTGCATACACTGCGTGTGAGTCGAGAGCGCAAGGAATAATAGACAAAAAGAGGAAAAGAAGCGAAAAGCGAGAGTGACTCGGCCGTGCCCTTCTGGCCGTTCAGCAGGGACCAATCGCCATCGTTCTTCATCTCCAAAACCCCCTAGGGCTATATTCACAGATATATTACATTTCAAACACCTTAAGATATATGAAAAAGAAAAACACTCGCGAATTGACAGACATATACATATGAAAACGAACAAACACAAAATCCTATACATCTGTTTGGAATCATTGCAAATATTTGAATATCACAAATTTAATAAAAACAAAACAAAATCTGAATTAAGTAACTGGATGCAAATACACAAGTTATTACGGGCGTGTGGCGGCAGATTTTAAAGTTACGGCAGTTAACAGGAGCACAAGAAAAGTACCCCTGGGGCGTTCTAGCATAAGCGGAGTTTGGGGCTACCGGTCTGGGGCTGTTCTCCCCCCACGACGGTGATTCTATCTATCGCAAAGCCTACCCGCACGCACCTCCATTACGATCATGCTGTGCGAAACTAGGGCATTACGGTCGCCAGACCCGTAGGTGGATCTAGGCTAGCACGAAGCCTAGAACGTTACAACATCAACATTATCACATTCCATTTCACAGCATCAACATGGGTTCATCCAAGGTCGGTCTACGACTACAAATCTTTTTGATATCACAGGTTTTATTGCAAATTCCATTGACAACGAGTTACAAACTGATGTTATATATCTTGATTTCAGTCGGGCTTTTGATAGGCTGGACCATGGTGTTTTGATTAAAAAGTTATATTCGCGTGGTTTTACACCTAATTTGATTCACTTGTTTGCCTCGTATCTGTAAAATAGGAAACAATATGTTCATTGTTTTGGACATAATTCTGGCTGTATAAATGTTACATCAGGTGTGCCGCAGGGTTCTGTTCTGGGCCCTCTTCTTTTCTTACTGTTTATTGATGACGTAACTGCTGGCTTGAATGTAAGCTATTCTCTTTATGCAGACGATGTTAAAATATTTAACAAAATTGCTACAGTAGAAGACTGCATTAAACTCCAGTTAAATCTGAATAAAATTACAACATGGTGTGATTTGAATAAGCTAGTTTTAAATAAAGACAAGTGTCGTGCGATGTCATATTCTTTGAAAAAGAAGATAATTTTTTTTAACTATGCGTTAGATGCAATTATATTGAGCAGACCGGAAACAATTTCTGACCTTGGTGTTATTTTTGATCCCAAATTGTCATTTGCAAGCCACATTAATAAACTTATCTCTGATTGCATGAAAACGATGGGTTTTATAATAAGAAATGCTAGAGATTTTCAAAATGCTCACACCATCATACGACTTTTTAAATCCTTTTTGGAAAGCAAATTATATTATGCATGTTTAATCTGGTGCCCCCATCATAACATTTATGTCACTAATTTGGAACGTATCATCCGCAAATTTTTGAAGTATTTGTCTTATCGGGAAGACGGAGTGTATCCTCCAATTGGTATACCTCAGCAGGATTTATTAAATAGATATAATTTTACCAGCTTTTTGAATACGTGTAAAAGATTTTACATGGTTTTTCTATTTAAACTTCTTCATAATGGTGTAGATTGTCCCATTATCACAAATTACATTTAATGTGAGTTCGCGCAGTGTCCTGTCCCGTTATTATGATCTGTTTTATTTGCCAGTCCCAAGAACGGATATTGCTAAGTTTTCACCGATGTTTACCATGTGCAGAATCGGTAATGTGTTCCATCGTGAAGTAGATCTCTTTTCATCATCGCTTAGAGAAGTACGTGGTTTTGATTACAGTAAACTTTAGGATACTTTGGTTAGACTATAAAATATTCTATAATTGGGGTCTCACCCTGTAGAATATTCACTTAATAATAATATTAATAATAATAATAATAATAATAATAACATCGGCGGCCGCCTCTGAATCTATCCAAACCTATGGACTTGCACAGGTGACACGATAAATCTCGCCAGCTCGACTAAGAACCGAACCTCGCTTCTGCCACGTTTTCTGTGTTATTTGACCTGAGTTCCATTTTAAATGTTCAATTTCTTATAAAATCAATGATTATGGGAAGAAGGCAGTTTGTCGAGTATGGTGGATTTAAGTCTTTTGAGTTTATTGTAAATAGTGGGATTGTTCAAGGCTCTAACTTGGGTCCTTTGCTGTTTGTAATTTTCTTCAATGATGTTGTAAAACATCTTAACTGCAAATGTTTCATATACGCAGAAGACTTAAAGATGGTTAACATCATAAGATCTAATAATGGTTGCTTAAAGCTGCAGGGCAATTTAGATAATTTTATTACTTTGAGTTGTATAAACTAGAAATTAATAAAGACAAATGCAAAATCATGAGTTGTACGAGAAACATAGATAAAATTAACTTTTATTATAATATCAATGGTGTACTGTTACAAAAGTGTAATGCATACAGAGATTTAGGAGTCATAATTGATTCTATTTTGTCTTTCGTCCCACATATCAAACAAATGGTTAAGAGCTCTCTAAGAACGGTAGGGTTTATTATAAGAAATGGAACATTGTGTGACAATCAATCGTAGCCAACGTCACTCAGGTGTCCCTAGCCCCCGGGCTTAATCCTTGCATCCTTTTAATCGAAAATTTGCGGACTTCCGTTCAACGCGAAACACGTGCTGTAAATTTGTTTCTTTGTTTGTAAATTCACCGAATTGAATATTTAAAAATGGAATTGAGCTTAAATAACACAGAAAACGTGGCAGAAGCGAAGTGCGGTTCCTAGTCGGGCTGGCGAGATTTATCATGTCACCTGTACAAGTCCACAGGTTTGTATAGAGTCAGGGGGCGATCGCCGGTGTTGTAACGCTGTCGGCTTCGTGCTAGCCAAGACCCAACTACGGATCTGCGATCGTAGAGGCCTAGTTTCGCAGGGCACGTTCGTAATGGAGATATGCGTTCGGGTAGGCGTTGTGATAGATAGAATCACCGTCGTGGGGGGAGAACAGCCCTAGACCGGTAGCCCCAAACTCCGCTTATGCTAGAATGCCCAGGGGTACTCTTGTTGTGCTCCTGTTAACTGCCGTATCTTTAAATATCTGCCGCCACACGCCCGTAATAACTTGTGTATTTGCATCCGGTTACTTAAGTCGGATTTTGCTTTGTTTTTATTAAATTTTTGATATTCAAATATTTCCATTGATTCCAAACAGATGTATAGGATGTTGCGTTTGTTCGTTTTTCATATGTGTATGTCTGTCAATTCGCGAGTGTCCTTTTTTCATATATCTTAAGATGTTTGAAATGTAATATGTCCGTGAATAATAACAAGAGGGTTTTTGCGCTGAGGAGTAAATCTTCGTAGCTTCTTTCCTCCTGCGAGGGGGTGCCGTGCTCCCCCTCCAATACAATTTTGTTTATTATTTCTTGCGCTCTCGAATCACATGCAGTGTATGCATTTGTATGAAAGAACGTCTTCCCGCCACTTTAAAAAAAAAAACACAACGTAGGTTCCCAAGTGTTAGACGATCACAGCCAACGACAAATTTTGAATTTTGAATTTTTCGCGGACCTTTCAAACTTTTTCAAGGTCAATTAAAGGCGGGAAGTTTGGGTTATCACAAAATAAAATATTATGTGAGGTTAAAACTGCAGAGTATGAAATTTACGTTCAATTAAAATTATACAACAAAGAAAATAACTGAAGTTAAAATTGTGAGATTAGAGAAATATTGTATGAGGTGAAAAATTGCAAAGTTAACAAAATTTACAGGAGATTGATATTTGCCACACTTTATCAACGATTCAAACAAAGAGTTTACATTATGTCAAATTATATCATGATCGAAGTGATTGGTTACTTCAAAAACAATTTACTTTGAGAGTTTAAAATACCGCGAACTGGTTACCCCAACAAAACATATAATAAACAAACACAAAAATATCGAATTATCGCTCCGAGGCAAAAAGCGTCTCGGTGATGTAAATTTTAAATCGTTGCGAGGAAAAAGCGTCTCGGTGATGTAATCATGATAACGATGACAGCCGCCTAAGGGAAGAGATTACTTAACCCCCCCCCCGCGTCAGTTTGCTGTATAATGAACTTGTTTTACTGCCGTAAATGAACTATTAGCAATCTTGTGTTAAGAATTAAGAAGTGTTATGATGTAACACTTACGTATATGCATCCAGAAACCTATTCGTAATTAAACAACAAGGTGTTTTCCTGACTAAGTGAATTTCATGAATTCTTCTAGCACGTGGTTTATTTAAATAATTCTGATTGTTAAACTGTGTTTGCACTAGCTGACGATTAAGAAAAACTATCTTGATTGATGAATTTTCAAACAATAAAACAAATTTACAGCACGTGTTTCGCGGTGAAGTCCGCCTTTTTTCCGCTTAAAAGGCCGCAACTGTGTCATTATGAAAGTTACGATTGATTGTCGTTAAACAAAGCCTTCCTCCCATTTTATTAACTACCAAACCAACTAATTTAAACTAGCTCTTGCCACGTGGTTACACTCACACAAGCACATTCAGACTGACGCTACGCCATGCTGCCCTTTTATCTAACCACCAACCCTCCAACTAAAAACCCCTAGCGCTAAATCGTCCGACTATCAAGCAAGCGTTTCCGTGCACCAGGTTGCCTATGTTTAACGATTTCCTTTTTGGTGATTGATTTTTTTTTCTCTTTCAAATTCAAATTATTCAAATGTGATTGCGCGCCGCTGTTAATTAATTCCAGCGCGAAAACTTTGATTTAAATTCGGTCACCACAAACAATATAATTATTTTTAATCAGATTTATTCCATCACGTTTTTCAATAAATTACAAATTAATACAGCACTAAGATAACCTTCTCCAGCAAAAAGTAGTCATCAGGTGCTTCCAGAAGAAATCTGATGACTTGCTCATTTATTAGGATTGTTGCCTTTTTTGGTTTATAAAATTCAGATTTGCGTTTCAGGAACATAAAAAGTTTTCCATATCTGTAACAAACGTAACTTTTGAGTAATCAAACGTAACTAAAAATGACAAATACTAGCCCAGAAATGTCGATACTTTCATGTAATTTCAAGTAAGTCTTTAACATGAAAATTTTTATCCATAAGTTGTTTGGAGAAAAATTTTTGCTCAATTGCGTCGCGTAGCAGAGCAAAATATCGTCGCTAATCCCCTCAACGTCTGTCTTTTTACGCCATATTGTGAATTCCTGTTATTCCTTTTCATACCTGACACTTGTCTTCAGAGGCAATAAATCTTAACTTGCAGCAGCAGTTACTATGGATAAAAAGTTAAGACTACCTGATTAGTTTTTTGAATTAGTATTTTTTATGAGTATTTTTTTAACTAACTAGTTTTAGGTATGACGAAAAACAGTCTCGGATAATATTTATACGCCTCGCCTTAATATCGGCCTATAATAACGTTAAACACTATAAAATGAATTTTGTCTTAACGTTTTTTCTAAACATTTAAAGATTTGGTCGGATGGATGTCGCCTATCGGGATATCTTCTGCAACAGCATTTTTTCCGCATTCTCTAAAAATCAAGATTATGGCAACCTTTTCATCATTCGTGTATTTAACCCTCATCTTATCGCGAAGACTAAAAACTCATCGGAGCTCAAAATTGACAAATAGAATTATTGTGAAAGTCAAAATTGACTACTAGGCTGGACTACTAAGTAACTATGTTTGTACATTTTAGAAAAATAAAACATAAAAAGAGTTACATATTAGATATGTTTATATCTTATGTGTTGCATTGAAATTTGGTCACGGGTCCCGTTATTATAATACTGACCCTATATTTACACTCACAACAAAACAAGAAGTGACCAAGAGAGCCTTCTTAAAACCGTCTATTTTTGATCTACATTTCAGCCCGGTCACAGATTACGGATACCAGATGGTTCACTTGTGGGCGTAACTGTCCGCAAATTTTCCGTGCGCATGACACTAAAATTGGTTCAGCACTTTTAAATCTCTTTGAAACTGGTTCGACAGATGAACACGCAAAATAATATTTACAATGTAGCAGATATAAGAATAAAAGTTTAGCTAATAATTCAGGGAATAAATAACATTACAAGGATTAATTTCTACGTTTTTTGGTTACGAAGGAATTTTTTAAAAGTTTTAAAATAATCAGAAAATTAGTTAAATAAATACCTACCTGCATTAAACTGTATTATAGTATCGTTTAGTAAATATACCTTGTCTATAATGCCTGATTTTGTAAATGAATAAGAGAATAAAACATTTTCCCTTCTTTTCCTTTAAACTCGTTTCAGTCTTAAATAACCACCAAAAATCGAAGATCACTATAAAGACGAGTAGATTAGAAAACTGTAACAACAAAGTTTAGAAAGGCAAGCGCAGCAAATTTCATTAACTATTCCCTCCAATTCTTCTAACTTTCGGTAACCCTTTAAGCCGTATAGTTAAAGAGGTTACGTTTATTCACCATGCAAAAATTTTAACACCACTTTCTTGTTAGCACTATATTCGAGAGTACGTGTTTTTTATGCTCTAAAATTTTTTAATGCCGATGCATGTGTCCGCAATTCTTTTCAGAGGAAATTGTGAAATGTTAAGCATTTGTAATAAACATAAATCATTTTGTGTAAGGCAAATAAGTATTTTGTTCGTTTTTTCTTCACTTAGAACCTCATCCCTTGCATCATCGCTGTAATTTTTCTCTGACCGCCGCGTTTTTAAATTCAAAGCTTGCGAACCAATTTTGGTAGAGCGTGCGTAGTAGCGTGAATACCGCTTGAAATCTCGGGACACCGACTTCAAAGTGCCGACAGCTGAGTGAACTATCTGGTATCCGTAATCTGTGGCCCGGTAGTTCACCGACATTATACTTCCCTACACGCTCCAGAACATAGGTGATTGCCTGTTACTAACTTATATTTTCCAAATTCAAATTATTTCACGATATTTTTTTTCTCAGCACAAAATTTTAATTCAAACTGGATGTACCGAGACACTACGAACCTATGCCTTAAAGCCTTAACATTAAACACATTTCCGGGGACATTTTTTATTCCTTTATTAGCAATAATAAGAAGTAATACAGGTAATACATCAATAATAATGATGGTAACCAAATGTCAAGTGTAAAAGGATTGGTACCGTGAGAGACATGGAATTCTGGGCAGTCTGTTCTTGTCATTTCAAAAAATGTCAATGTAAATGCACCTTTAGTGTCAATGTGATTGATATTTTTGAAAAAACTGTCAAATTAACTTTGAAATATATCAATTGGTTCTACATGCCAGCTGTATCAATTTTTAACAAATCTCGAGCAGTAGCTGCATGTTAATATAATTGAAACAAATTTAATAAAACTTCGACTTTGTCAGTGTCAAAATGAGAAATACGCCAAACATTAAAAGCGTGGTTATGAACAGCAAAGGCCTGGTTTAGAAATTTTGACAATTGTGTGACACCTCTGCCCAGTTTTCCGTGTTCCCGATGGTACTTATCTTCATCTTCAATAACAATACTGAAGTCTTGTATACTAAATCTGAAAGGTTTTGTAGTGTTATCATACGCGTTTAAAATTCCATCTCTATTCTAATGCCGGTTATTGATGTGGTTCCTTAGGCAGTGGTTCCATTTACTTTTGTATTGACACAATGGGCATGCATACCATTTTATCTCCTCTTCAGTCAAATGATGGACAAGTGTATGTCGTTTTATATCCGACTTTCGTTTGCCTTTGTAAGGACATTCTTTACACTCATGCCATTTAATATCCTGTGCATCTGAATGTTGTGTACTTTTATGCTTACGTAAATTTCCAGGATACTTAGTTTTAAATGTACACATTTTGCATTCATACCATTTAATTTCCTGTTGTTCCAAATGCTGCACCTTTATGTGTTCTTTTAAACGAGTACTTGTTATTCCTTTGTATGAACATTTTTGACATTTATACCATTTAATCTCTTGCTCACTTAAATGGTGATTAATGGTGTGAAGTTTTACACATGATTTGCCTTTAGCTTTATATGGGCACTTCTCACACTTATACCACTGATCACTCTTATCTAAATGTTGTCTCTTCGACTGACCTTTTAAATGTGTATTGAGACGGTGTCCATTCATGTGTCTTTTTAAGAGTAGTTTTTGTTTAGCTCGAAATGGACACAGGGAGCAGGGATACCCATGTGTTTCATCAGAGTTAAGATGTTTGGAAATTTTATGTGCTTTTAAAGACTCTTGGTACCTAAAAACTATTCCACACTCTTTGCATTTGTTTTTTCCTACACATTTTGTAGCATGTTCAGACCATTTCATTAAAAACTTTGTTTTGAAGTTACACTTTTCACAAGTGTATCTTTTGCCATGTTCCCCATTTAACAATAAGTCTCTATATATCCTTTTATCACAATGGAACTGTAGTTGGTGCTGTTTGAAAGGAATTGTCAGTCCTGTTTGGAAGTTGCAATGTTTACAGAAGTAATTTTCAACAATAGCCCTTTCACAGTTAAAAGTCGGATATTTAATCGCTTTGGAGCCTTGCCCCGGTGACATTTTAGTTCGCCTAAAATTAATTACTTCGTTACCATTTTATTATTCCACTAAAATGATGAGAATATTTTCTCACTTACCTACGAACTATTAATTAACATAAAAATGCCAAAATTACCAAAATGTGGATCACGTAAGTAATTCACTTTTTAGGTTAACCAAAGTGCATATTAGATTGTAAACATGATTAGGCAACACACAATACCCATTCGGAGCAAAAATATAACGCTGAGCCTCAGTAGCACTCCATCTATTTTGTAAATATCTTAGGACACAAAATATATAACTAAAAAGCGTAAATAAATGTATTTAACTGTATCATCATTAAGATTTAATTACTATTGTCTGGAATTTGTTAGTTTTCCTGCTGATGCAAGTTTGAAGCAAAAGTGGATAATAGAATCAAACGAGAAAAATTCTACCCCTCCAAATATTTCGTTTTATGCAACAGTGATTTTATCATTCTTGAAGACAAAAGGAGACTAAAAATAGATGCCGTGCTTTCCAGTATATTTTGTGAATTAAACGATCCTATCTTGAATCAGGATCCATTAAATAATCACCATATTCAACTATATTAGGTACCTTATTTTAAAAATTTATTTCACAATTTCGATTCATTATCGAAATAAGCAACGAAATGAATTTGATAACAGGATTAGACATAAGTATTCCAAGTTGATATTGTTTAAAAATCAGTAACGAGCTTAGATCATATAATTAAAATGCTATATGATCTTAAGTTCACGAGTAATAAAGAGCCTGAATAAATTTGAAACGCAACCCAAAATACATTTTCACCACTATCTTGTACGCCCCTATACAGCGTGTGTATGTGTGCTAAAAGTAAAAAAAAGTTCACGTAAAAGTGTTCTCCTTTTAGAGATAAAAATTATTAAAATTTATGTCCAAATTCGTTGTACGCCTCAGACAAAAAGATCATCTTTCGTTTCTATAGCAATATTTAGTCTTGACAAAAGTTTTATTGTTACAGTTGCTAGGATTTACTAAAATAAATTAATTTTAGAGTAGCTTTCAACACGAAAGGGTACAGGTGGTGGGAGTGCGCAGAACATTGTTTTGGTTTGGCCTTACAAATATCGTGCAAGCAGTGGCAGCGGCGATGAATATTTCGATTTTGAAATATTAAAATATTATTGCGGTTAATACAAATATCACTTTTCTATTTTATTAGCGTTGACATTATAGAAAAAGAATTTAAACAATTGTTAGTGCTGTATTTGATGTATGAGCAATAATAACTGTTAAATTACGGTACAGTCGAAGCTCTAGTTATAAACGACAATTATGCTAGAATATGAACTGTGATTATTACTTCGACGTTAAAGACAGAAAACGTTAAGCCTTATAATAATCAGACTTTACGGTATCGGTAAATTGTGCCAGAAAATTAAAAACCATATAATTATAGTCATAGGTTGCTTATTCTCAGAATTTTAACCCTGTTTTTATCTAAAGATTTAACTGTTGATTTAAGACTAGTCGACTATAAAATAGTATGTGATACTGGTTTATAATGAGGGGTTCGTGAAATTTTTTACTCATGCTATAATCCCTCACATTATAAACTCGTTTAATAATTAAAAATACCAAATTTTGTGTGAAAGATTATCATAATTTATTGTTACGTAAGTCTATTTTTTTTTAACAAACAAATTAATATATTTTTATGAAATGGTTGTCTGTATTCTTTTGTAGAAATTGCTCTTTTTTTAATTGTTTTTGAAAGAAGTATAACTCAGCCGAGCCTCCCTTCTCAATGCATCGATGTTACGCCACTGATGGCCCGGCTACAAGTCGCGCAACTTAAGCCCCGCCCCTGTACCCTTTCATAGTGAAATTACTTCTACTTATTTATCCTTCAGTAACGTCTAAAAAGGTTGGATAAGGGTTAATTTTCCTTTTATAATTTTGATAACACAAAATAAGTTTTTCAGACTTCTTAGATTTCGCGAATAACTATCAGTTTTGTTGTACGTACCTTTCAAGAACACCTGTATTATTATAATTACAATTGGAGCATTAAACATAGTAATCTTAATACTTGTCAAAAGTTTTGACAAAAACTTCAGATTGAAAGATAAAAACACGTTTTATTTTTTCCTAATACAATAAATGTTCAAAGTGTTGACCCATGTTTCTTTCACATGTGTATTCCAGAAGGATGTCTTAACACGCATTAATGTCTCGGGCGTAATGGATCTTATTGCTCCTGTAATTTTTTCTTCTAAATGGTCGACAGTATTTATTGGAATATTGTAGACCATTACTTCCACTGTGCACCACAAAAAGAAATCTAGGGGTGTCATATCACAGCTTAGGAGGGGCCAAGGATTAATCGAACCTCTCCCAATCCATTTATGGGGAGGGGCGTCGCGCCGTCCGCTAAGGACCGAGTGCAGGCGTATATTTTAAATTTTAAGAATGATATTGTGATAACCTAAACATCCCGCCTTAAATTGACATGTGAAAAAAAATTGAAAGTCTGCGAAAAATTCAAAAATTTGGCCTTGGTTGTGACCGTTTAACATAATGGAACCCACGTTATGCGTTTTTTTTTGTGGCGGAATGCGTTCAGATACAACTGGTAGACTCCAAGGTTGGCTTGACTAAGTTGTACCGGTTGAAGACACTTCTTAATGCTCAGCTACAAAAAAAAGTTGCCTAACTTTAAATGAAATCAAATTAAACGTTCTGAATCAATGCACATATTTGAATATCACAAATTGAATAAAAACAAAGAAAAATCTGAATTAAAGTAACTGGCAATCGAACTATGTATATCAATTTCATTCTAGGACACAGCAGAATTACCCACAGGGGGGCGTTGAAGCACGAGCGGAGTTTGGGGCTCCTGGTTGTGGTTGTTTTCCCACCACGACGGTGATTCTCCTATTCAAGGCCTGCATTTTTCGCGACTGCCAGATTAACGAGGAACGGCGCACTCCGCTTCCGCCACGTGTTTCCGTGTTAATTACCTCAATTCCATTTAAATGTTCAATTTCTATAACTCTGACATTAAACAACAAACCGAACAAGTGTTAAAGTTTCTTAAGAGCAATAAACAACTTTTAAATTCGCCATACACTCTCGTAAAATTTTAAACAGCAAAGAATTCTCATCTGAGAATAAGATTGGACATCAGACAATTTATATGGTGGAAACATTAATCAACAAGATATTTATGTGGTAGATATAACTAGCAAAGATTTATAAAAACATAAAGATCTGGTGTGAACTAAAACTTGTACAAATAAAAAATTACGTGAAATTAGGAAATGCAGAGCATGAAAATTTACATTCAATTTAAATTATACAACAAAGAAAATTACTGAGGCTAAAATTGTGAGATGGAGAAAAATTGCATGCGGTGAAAAAATTACAAAGGTAACAAAATTGCATTAATATTTGCCATACTTTATCAACGATTTAAACAAAGAATTTACATGGATGTTAAATTACGCCGGACTTTATCCAAGAGACTGGTTACTTAAAATAATTAGCTTTGAGAGTTTATATCGTGGGCTGTCCCCAGCTTATCCCAAACAAACACGTGATAAATAAACACAAAATGCATCCAGCGTTGAGAGAAATACGTCTCGATGATGTAATGATGATAACGATGATAACTGCCTAAGAGGAAAAATTTTAATCCCCTCAGTGCATGCTATTATGAAGTCTACCGCACTTTCACGGTCCTTTTCCCAGACTGGGACGTTAGGTTAATTTAACTGCCGTAAATGAACTATTAATAATCTTGTGTGAAGAATTAAGAAGTGTTATAATATAACACTTAAGTATAAGCATCCAGAAACCTTATTCATAACTCGATAAACAACGGACGAGTCCTGACTAAGTGAATCTCATAAAATCTTCTAGCAAGTGCTTTAGCTAAACAATCTTATGAGGGTTAAATTGTGTTTGAACCAGTTAACGATTAAAATCCTAACATGAACTGTGATTTCACAAACAATGAAACAAATTTACGCAACGTGTTGACGTCGGTTGAAAATTCGCATATTTCCGCTTAGAAAACACCAATCATTAGTTACGCTGGTTGGGGAAACTGTGGCGTCGCAATCGTTACGATTAATTTTCGCTAAACAAAGACTCTTTTCTCTAACTACCAAACCAACTAAAGGCGATGTGACGTCACGTGGCTGGTGTGCAAAGCAGACGTAAATTCATCCACTGGCTTAGTATACCATGTCTTCTTGTAGCATGAATAAAAATTTTAAATAGTTCGTTTATGGCATTTAAATCAGTCTTAATCTTAAACGTTGATCTAATTTAGAGAAAAAACCCTGAAAATTAGCATCACTTAAATTAATATCATCGTGGGGTCGAAATGGAGTGGTACTTTATGCTTATATTTTGTTTTATATTTATATGTAATTTTCAGATAGCCTAACCACTTTCCTACAGCCTAATTGTTTTTTTATAGTCTAAATTTGAACATTTGTTATTTTTATTTATTTTAATTTTGACCAATGTGCCTGTTGTGTTTATTTAGTATGTACATGTTTTGTTTTATGGATGTAATTTTGATGAACTCATTGTGGTGTCCGGAATTTCAAAAAATTTTGCAAAAAAACTTTTGAAAAATTAAAAAAACAAAAAATACTACAGGCCACATTCTTATTTATTTTTCAAATTCAAATTATTCCAATTCCAATGCGGCTTCGCAGCGTTGTTTTTTTTTTCTCTTCGCGCGAAATTTTAATTCAAACCAGGAGAACCCGGACACTACAAATTTAAGCCTTAAATACTAAATACATTTTTAGTCATTTTTTCTTCATTTATTAGCACCAAGAAATGATAATACAGATAATAGACCATTAATAATAATATTAATATTGTAACGAAATGTGATATCTAAAAAGACTGGTACTTATCTACCATAAGAATAGTAAATTCTTGTATAGTAAAAGTGAAAGCTTTTGTAGTCTTAACATATTAATACATAGCTTTGAAAATTAAAAGGTGAGTTACTGGTTTGAAACAACTCATTTAAAATTCCATCTCCGTTCTAATGCTGGGTCTTGACGTGCTTCCTTAAGGCGCATTCCCATTTACTTTTGAACGGACATAATTTGCATTCATACCATTTGATCTCCCGCTGTTCACTCGAATGATGCAACTTTGTATGCCGTTTTAAATCCCAATTTCGTTTACCTTTGTAAGGACATTCTTTACATTCATACCATTTAATATCTTGTCTATCTACATGACGTATACTCATGTGCTTACGTAAACTTCGAGGATGCTTAGTTTCAAATGTACACATTTTGCATTCATACCATTTAATATCCTTTTCTTCCAAATGTCGAATATTTATGTGTTCTTTTAAACGAAACTTTGTTTTAGCTTTGTATGAACATTTTTGACATTTATGCCATTTAATGTCTTGTTCATTTAAATGGTGATTAATTATGTGACGGTTTAAATATGATTTGTTTTTAGCTTTATATGAGCACTTGTCACATTCATACCACTTAATACTCTCCTCATCTGTATGCTTCGCATTTGTATGAAGTTTTAAAGAATATTTGTGTTTAGTTTTGAATGGACATTTTTTACATTGGAACCGTTTAATGTTATGTTCATCTAAATGGTGTTTACTTGAGTGACTTTTTAAATGTGTTTTGTTTTGAGCTTCATTTGGACACTTTTGACTTTCACACCGTTCACTGCTCTGTTGATCTGTATGTTCCAAATTTATATGAAGTTTTAACGAAGACTCATGTTCAGTTTTATATGGACACTTTATGCATTGATGCCATTGAATATCTTGTTCATTCAAATGTTGGGTAATTGTGTGTTGTTCTAAACGTTCCTGGCGTTTAGATTTGAATGTACATTTTGTGCATTCATACCATTTAATATCTGCTGCACTGAGATGGATTGCAGCCATGTGTCTTTTCAAAAGTACTTTATTTTTAGTTTGATATGGACACAGGGAGCAGGGGAGCCAATCTAATTCATCAGTGCTATGATGTTTGGAAATTCTATGTGCTTTTAAAGACCGTTCCTCCCTAAAAACTACTCCACATTCATCACATTTGTTTTTTCCTACACATTGTGCAGCATGTTCACACCATATCATAAAAAACTTTGTTTTGAAGTTACACTTTTCACAAGTGTATTTTTTGCCATGTTCTCCATTTAACAATAAATCTCTGTAGATCTTTTTATCACAATGAAACTGTACTTGGTGCTGTTTGAAAGGAATTGTCAGTTCTGTTTGGAAGTTGCAATATTTACAGCTGTAATTTTCAATAGTGGCCCTTTCACAGTTAAAAGTCGGATATGAAATAGCTTTGGAGCCTTGCCCAGATGACATTTTAGTTCGCCTAAAATTAATTACCCCGTTACCGTTTTTATTCCACCAAAATGATGAGAAAATTTTCTCACGTACCTAGTAACCAGCACTATTAACACAAAAATGCAAAAATCACCAAAATGTGGATGACGCAAGAAATTCACTTTTTAGGTTAACCAAAGTGACCCCAAAAGACCCCAGGGACGCATTGAACCAGTTTCTGTGCCCGCACTGCCCGCTATCTGCCGGTCTAAAGTGTTGTGATTCATAATGAACATGTTTAGACAACACACAATACCCATTCGGAGCAAAAATATCACTGGTGTAAATATCTTAGGACACAAAATGTACAACGAGAAAGCTTAAATAAATGTATTTAAGTGTATCATGGTTTAATTTAAGATTTAATTAATATTGTCTGGAATTTGTTAGTTTTCCTGCTGATGCAAGTTTGAAACAAAAGTGGATAATAGAACGAAACGAGAAAAATTCTACCCGTCCAAATATTCCGTTTTATGCAGCAATGATTTTATCATTCTTGAGGACAAAAGGAGATTAAAAATAGATGCCGTGCTTTCCAGTATGCATATTTTGTGAATTAAACGATCATATTGTTACGATGAACGGGTGATTAAAATCGGCGTGGGTTAAGCTCTACAATTTATTTCTTAATAACTCGAATTTACACGACTACCGCAGCGGTTATGTATAAAATAATTCCGGCGCAACTTCACTGGACTCTCTTGACTCAACTGGCTGAATAATGATCCTCGTTCCCGAAGGTGGCATTTATTAAACCCATACTTCTGCGATCGAGGTCTTTTGCGAATATCCATCCAGACTTCCATTGGCGTCGTACCGGGTATGGGTGTATTTCGTAACAATATCTTGAATTAGGGTCCATTACATAATCACCATATTCAATTTTATTTTAAAAATTTATTTCTCAATTTGGATTCATCATCGAAATAAGCAACGAAATGAATCTGATAACAGGATTAGACACAGATATTCAAAGTATTGTTTAAAAATCGGTAAGGATATTGTGATAACCCAAATTTCCCGCCTTAAATTGACACTTGAAAAGTTTGAAAGGCCCGTGAAAAAATTCAAAAATTTAAAATTTGGCCTTGGCTGTGATCGTCTAAGAAAATGGAACCTACGTTGTGTGTGTGTGTGTGTTTTTTTTTGAAAAAAGGCGGGAAGGCGTTCTTTCATACAAGTGAGCATACACTGCGTGTGAGTCGAGAGCGCAAGAAACAATAGACCAAATTTTTGGGAGGGGGCTAAAAATCGCACCCCTCTCTAGGAGGAAAATAAGCTACGACCGAGGGTGACTCGTGACTTGCCATCAGGCTGCCCGAAGGGGGCCGAATCGCATTCACTTCTCAGCTCCAAAAATCCACTATGGTTTATATATTACATCCCAAATGAATCACATTAAAATATGAAAGAAAGAGGCAACCGCGAGTTGACAGACATACACATATGGGAAAGCGAACAAGTGCAAAAACCCTACGTATATGTTTTTGAATCAATGCAAATATCTGAGTATCACAAATTTAATAGAAACAAAGGAAAATCTGAATTAAAGTAACTGGAGGCAAATACACAAGTTATTACAGGCGTGTGACGGCAAATTTAAAATTATGACAGTCAACAAGAACACAATGAAAATACCCATAAGGGTGCTGTGGCATGAGCGGAGTTTGGGACTCCGGTCGTGGCTGTTCTCCCCGGCGACGATGATTCTATCTATCACAAGTCTACCACACACCACCTCTCCATGACGAACATGCCGTGCTATCCAGGCCACTACGGTCGAAAACTCGTGGTTGGACGTCACGGCTATAAATAGCTGACAGCGTCACGTGGTCCAGACTGTTCCCCTGACTCTATATAAAGCCTGCATCCATTGTGCAGATGGCGCGATAAATCCCGGTTGCTCGACAAGGAACCGCGCCCTCCGCTTCTGCTACATGTTTCGGTGTTATTTAACCTCAATTCCATTTTAAATGTTCAATTTCAATGACTCTGATATTAACGACAATTGAACAAGTGTTAAGAGTTTTAAAAAAAGCAATAAACAACATGTAAATTCGCCATACAATCCTGTGGAATGTTAAACAACAAATAATTCTTATCTCAGATTAAAATTGGACATCAGATAATTTATACGATGGAAACATTCATCAAGAAGATATTTACAGAACAGAACTAGCAAAGATTTATAAAAGCAAAATATCTGGTGTGAAATAAACTTGGTCAAATAAAAATATTATGTGAGGTTAAAACTGCAGAGCATGAAATTTAGGTTCAATTAAAATTATACAACAAAAAAAATTACTAAGGTTGAGATTGTGAGATAGAGAAATATTGTATGAGGTGAAAAATTGCACAGTTAACAAAATTTACGAGATTAATACTTGCCACACTTTACCAACGATTCAAACAAAGAATTTACGTTATTTTAAATTATGTCCTTGATCCAAATGATCGGTTACTTGAAACAATTAGCTATAGCCCCTAGAAAACACGTAGTATCGTCACCGTGGAGCAAACCTGGCGGAAACTTAACAAAAACAAAAATTATAAACACCATTTGACAGACCGTGAAATTTAAAATGGTTTTATGTTGGATTTAAAGTTGTAGTTTATATACAAAATATGGAGTTTTAATTTGAATAAAATATAAAATTTAATCAATAAAATCTTATTTAATAATTATTAGTTATATTAATTGACAATTAAATGACTTTAAACAAAAAGAGCACGCCAAGACCACGTGACAACAACGGTTTACGCACTGTCAACTCTCTGCTGACACAATTTGGTTCCAAACCAGTGATGTAAATTTTAGCGTTGCGAGGAAATGCCTCGGTGATGTAATCAATCTCTAACGTTGCGAGGACATGCCCCACTGATGTATTCAATCTTTACGTTGCGAGGACATGCCTCAGTGACGTAATCAATCTTTAGCGTTGCGGGGACATGCCTCGGTGGTGTAATGATGATAACGATGATAACTGCCTAAGGCAAGAAATTATTTTAACCCCCTGCCAGTTCACGGTATGAATTAGTTAATTTAACAGCCGTAAATGAACTATTAGCAAGCTTGTGTGAAGAATTAAGAAGTGTTATTGGGAATTCAAATTAATTTTAGCGCGCTTCGAACAGCTGGTCTGTGACGTCACATCCAGGGAACTGAGTACACGGTAACATTGGGCCAACGTCGTTTTACCGGTTTTGTGTTGCAAATTCGTGTTTTATTTTGAGTGAATAGTATTGTTCTTCGTGTATTTAACTTTTTATGCAATAGTGCAATATATACTTATTTGAACAGATAAGTGACTATTCCATAATAACGAGAACAAATTGTTTTCAACCAACATGTTTTTAGGTTAGCAAATCTAAAAATTGAGGTTCTTAATTTTATCAATAACAAGTTGATCGAAAGCTATGAGTATAATTTCACACATCCAGGTCTTTAAAGAAATTACAAAATTGAATTTTACCATTTTTGTTTTGCGATAACCGATAACTGTAAAGTAAAAACCAGAGCCATAAATAACACCCCTTGTCCTTCAGCAGTAGGTAATAGTAACGTTATTATACCTTGCAGATGTTTTTGCAAAAATTTGAACGTTTGGCGAAAAAACTGAAAGCGGATTCGTACGCTACAAGTATAGGAGTATATTTTTGTATAATATTCAAAACATTTTAAAATATAGTGCATTAAAATGACGTCATCAAATTGTTGGTGGGGATGATTAACATAATTTTGCGTAGCATTTAACCATCTACAATAGTCTATAAGATATTTGTAATATACATACAAAATTTGACAACAATTGGTCCAGCAGTTTTGGTGATTATGTGGACAGACAAACAGAGGATATGAAACGTCCAGAATATTATTAAAATGGCCATTCATGACTCGATTACTATACTTCCTTAGTTTAAGCAATAGTTTAAACAAAAATAGTTCGACGCCACTGTCCCTCTTCAATGAGCATAAATGTATGACCAGTTTATTTGCGATTTTCTGATATGAAATGTGCAATTTTTGCGATGTCGTCAACGCGCATAATTTTTATTTCGCTGTTGTAAATTTACAGTTCACGTTCTTAACTCTTCGTGCTTTTAGCGCAACGTTATGACAATAATTAACGATACTATAGTTCTGGATGATTTTACCGGAGTTATGATATTATTATTAGATTTAAAATAGTTCGTTTATGGCATTTAAACTAATCTTAATCTTAAACGTTGATCCACTTTAGAGAAAACCTTGAGAATTAGCATCAAGTAAATTAATATCATCATGGGATCGAAATGGAGAAGTACTTTATGCTTATATTTTGTTTTATATTTATGTGTTATTTTCGGACAGCCTAACCACTTTCCTACAGCCTAACTACAGTCTAAAATTTTAACAATTGTTATTTTTATTTTATTAGTTTGATTTTGACCATGTGTCCCTGTTGTGTTTACTTAGTATGTACATATTTTGTTTTAACGATGTAATTTTGACGAACTCATTGTGGTGTCCTGAATTTGAAATTTAAATTTCGCGCTGAAAAAAAAACTACAAGACTATTCGCACTCGTAGCACAATTTTTGTAATGCACAGCAGGTACATTTTTAGAAAGTCACTCACTTCCTGTTTTTAGAAACGTCACTTCTTGTTTAATTCAAACCAGGCGAACCTGGACACTACAAATTTATCCCCTAAATACTAAATACATTTTTAGTCATTTTTTTCTTCATTTATTAGCAACAAGAAGTAATAATACAGATAATCATATATCTAATACTACTATATTGCTAACTCATCAGAAGTAACATAGAAACGGTGTTCACGGATAGAGAGAGACAGAAGATGTTGTTTTCTATCTATCAGAGTACCCAGGGTCTGTGCGCATGTACACAAAATAGAAGCGAAAGTACGAAACGTCAAAACGCATCCAATCACGCTATCGACTACAAATCAAGCAAGTACGAGTGTATGCGCAGTACTGTTTAGTACCACAGAGAGACAGAGAGGTCCGATATATTGCTCTGCCGTTATGTTTTCGGACTCTTGAGGCCAGTTAGCAATATAGTACTATTAGATATATGCAGATAATAGACAAATAATAATAATAATAGTAATATTGTAACGAATAGTGAATTCTTGTATATTAAAAATGAAAGCTTTTGTAGTCTTATCATATTAATACATAACTTTGTAAATGAAAAGGGGAATTACTGGTTTTGAAACAACTCATTTAAAATGCCATCCCCGTTCTGATGTTGTGTGTTGACGTGCTTCCTTAAGGCGGAGTCCCATTTACTTTTGAATGGACATAATTTGCATTCATACCATTTGATCTCCCGCTGTTCACCTGAATGATACGACATTGTATGTCGTTTTAAATCCGCATTTCGTTTGCCTCTGTAAGGACATTCTTTACATTCAAGCCATTTAATGTCCTGTCTATCTACATGGCGTATACTCATGTGGTCACGTAAACTTCGAGGATACTTAGTTTCAAATGTACACATTTTGCATTCGTACCACTTAATATCCTTTTCTTCCAAATGTCGAACATTTATGTGTTCTTTTAAACGAAAACTTGTTTTAGCTTTGTATGAACATTTTTGACATTTATACCATTTCATGTCTTGTTCATTTAAATGTTGACTAACTATGTGACGTTTTAAATGTGATTTTTCTTTACCTTTATATGGGCATTTTTCACATTCATACCACTTAATATTCTTCTCATCTGTATGCTTTGCATTTGTATGAAGTTTTAAAGAATATGTGTGTTTAGTTTTGAATGGGCATTTTTTACATTGGTGCCATTTAATGTCATGTTCTTCTAAATGGTGTTTACTTGAGTGACTTTTTAATTGTGTATTGTTTTGAGCTTCATTTGGACACTTTTGACTTTCACACCATTCATTACTCTGTTGATCTGTATGTTTCAAATTTATATGAAGTTCTAAGGAAGACTCAAGTTCAGTTTTATATGGGCATTTTATGCATTGATGCCATTCAGTATCTTGTTGATTCAAATGTTGGGTAATTGTGTGTTGTTCTAAACGTTCTGGTCGTTTAGTTTTGAATGTACATTTTGTGCATTCATACCATTTAATATCTGTTGTATTGTGATGGACTGAACCCATGTGTCTTTTCAAAAGTATTTTATGTTTAGTTTGATATGGACACACAGAGCACAAGTACCAATGTATTTCATCAGCGCTAAGATGTTTGGAAATTCTATGTGTTTTTAAAGACTCTAGATACCTAAAAACTACTCCACACTCATCACATTTGTAACACCGACGATTTCCTTTCTTTCCTACACATTGGGTACGATGTTCACCCCACCTCATGAAAAGCGTTGTTTTGATATTACAATTGTCACAAGTATATGTTTTGAAGCCATGTTCTGCAATTAACACTACATCTCTGTGGCTCATTTTATCGCTGTGGGACTCTTCTAAGTGCTGTTTGATAAGAATTGTCATTGCCGTATGGAAGTTGCAATATTTGCAGTAGTAATTTTCAATAGTGGCCCTTTCACAGTTAAAAGTCGTGCGTGAAAACGTTTTGGAATCTTCCACAGTCGACATTTTAGTTCGCCTACAATTAATTACTTTGTTATCATTTTAACAGACCACTAAAAATATGTGTATTTTTTTCGCTTACCGTTTTATTAAAAACTATTGCAAATTCACTTTTTGGTTAACCAAGAAGTGTCAATGATAAAGATCAATGTCAAATACTCCTAGCTTATACAACACATCATACAATAATGATTCCAAATACAGTACATCTGTATTAGTGGTATGTTTCAGAAAAATTAAAATTATATGAACCATGGAGGTGTAATGAGAGGAGGGAAGATAGAATGAAAAAATTTGCTGCTTGTTTTTAGCAGAACTTCCCTCGCTCCTGAAGTACAATGAAACATATCCAGCATTTTCGAAAAATTATAAAATTTGATTTTGCGCATTTTATATTTTTTATGAGAATCCCTATAAGTTGAAATAAACATATGTAAATATGTAATCCTAAAGTAAATATAAAGAAGCATGCTATGCGTATGTTTCAAATAAGTTTTTAATTTACAAAATTTTATGGTGACGTCAATCATCACTTTTGCAAGAGCACGTATTTCAACTTAGGGTAGTGCAGTAATATTAATAATAAAGTATTATATCCCCCCTCCCAAAATTTTGGGAAAAATGCAAGAGTTCATTCGATTTTGCAGTTCTTGATTGTGGTAACCAATTTAAATCAAAACTTTTCGCGCTGAAATTAATTAACAGCGGCGCGAAATTACACTTGAATAATTTGAATTTGAAAAAAAAAAAAATTCAATCACAAAAAGAAATTGTTAAACATAGGCAACCAAATGTGCACGTTGGGTTTAATGTTTAATGCACGTTGGGGTTGATGCATGTAGTGCCCCAGGCACCAGGGTAGTTTCATTAGGTAGCACGTTTTAGTTAGAGGGCGGCTTGGTGGGGATAGAGGGCGGCTTGGTAGACAGAAGCAGCATGTCGACGCGTCAGTCGGAATGTGTTTTTGTGCGTGTGAACGTGTGGTAAGAGCTAGTTTAAATTGGTTGGTTTGGTAGTTAATAAAATGGGAGGAAGCCTTTGTTTAACGACAATCAATCGTAACCAACGTCACTCAGTTGTCCCCAACCTGCGCGGCTAATCCTTGCGGCCTTTTTAATCGGAAACTTGCGGACTTCCGTTCAACGCGAAATACTTGCTGTAAATTTGTTTTATTGTTTGTAAATTCACCAATCAAGTTAGTTTTTCTTAATCGTCAACTAGTGCAAACACAATTTAATAATCAGGATTATTTAAATAAACTACGTGCTAGAAGATTTCATGAAATTCACTTAGTTCGGAAAACACCTTGTTGTTTAATTACGAATAGGTTTTTGGATGCATATACGTAAGTGTTACATTATAACACTTTTTAATTCTTCACACAAGATTGCTAATAGTTCATTTACGGCAGTTAAACAAGTTCATTATACTGCGAACTGGCGGGGGTTATAATAATGTCTTCCCTTAGGCGGTTATCATCGTTATTATCGTCGTTATCTTGATTACTTCATCAATGCATGCCCCCACGACGCTACAGATTAATTACAACATCGAGGCTTGCCATCACAACGCTACAGATTGATTACTTCATGGCAGTGGCGGCTCCTCGGGGTGGGCAGGGTGGGCAATGCCCACCCTATTTGATTGTTTACGATACGAAGTAAAATATTGATTTTTTCTTTTTTAAATTATTTTATATGTATACACAAATAATTATCGTCTAAAACATCATTTAAGCCAACGGATTTTCTTCATTACATCTCGCAGTTTCCGCAACTGAGAAATTGCAGTTGCAAAAGAGTGTGTCAGATCTCGGCGTTCATGTGTGGATGGGCTAGTCCACCCTGGTCCATCCTCTTGATTATAAGCAACGACATACATTCGGTTTTCTATGTACGTGATTGAGAGTAAAGAATTCGAAACGCACGTCTTTGCATATCCGTGTTTTCTTGCTTCAACGTATATCCCAAACGCTGCAGAATCGGATCTCTGATATTCGATTCAAGGATTCAATAAATTAATTTCGATTTTTTTACTTCTTTTGTATTGTAAAAGTATAGAGATAATTATTTTTATTACTCCATTGAAATATGGGTAAGGTGGTAAGGAAAATAATGTTATGCGAAAATTCTTTAATAATATTGTTATAAAAAAGAGCAACACCATAACAATTAATAAATAAATACTTTTTCATATCCAATGAAAATTTGTAATAACCATATTCTTGTATTATGACACCGTGTAAACTTTATAATAAATTATAAATTTGAAAATCCGAATAACCAATGATGAGAATAAGTAATACATTTATTATTGCAGTACGTATGAGACATGTGTATTTTTTTATTATTACATATGCATTTTTGTTTCATAAATATAACTGTAGCAGAGTCAACAAAAGTTAAATATACGCTTAATTTATTATTTAATTCAGACTGTCCGCACAGGTTTGTTACGCGTTCGCTCTAGGATGGGTGGGCAAATCCACCCTGAAAATCGGAAGCACTCGGCATGGTTCGTCCTCGTCGGAGACACGACTCAATTGAATTCAGTCAGATCAGAAACTGCATTCTGGATAGTGCATTTAATTATAAAATGTAGCTTATTCAAATTACCAAACGGTTAGGCGGGTACCAAAGTAGATAATTTTTACCATTTTTTTTTAATGGCAAGTCCGACTGTAAGCTGTGCAAATAATATTAGAGAGGTGGTAAAGAACGTATTAAAGACACTGAGTTTTTGTTTTTAATAAATAAATTCAGTAGCATGGAACTTCATGTTTATGAATTATTTGTTTATAAAATAAGATCATGTCCCGAAATGAAACAATTAGTCATCACAAACTCTCGTGGCAGTAATAAAGGTTTTAATCAAAATTCGAACAATAAATATTGCCTATTGGCTGATCGGTAGTGAAACAACAAACAAAACTGTTCAAATTGTCTGTTATTTAACATAAAATTAAATTACGAACACTTTAGAATTCCACAAGAAGAGCGATATAAAATATATCGCTACTGCTTTACAAAAACATGACCAATCTGAATAAACGAAAATTACTTGCAAAACGAAGTGAAACTATAGAAAATTCTCTTAAATTCGACGTTTATTCGATATGATAATTTTCTTGGTTACACAAAAACATACATTTCAGGGACAAGATGAGTCGCAAATTTCTCTTAAAGTAAATTCGATGATAAATTTAAAAATGTTTTGGAGGAGTCTTTGGTAGTTAGTGGTCTTTCTAAAACCGGTCAGAACGATTATTTTAGAATTATTTTTATTTTATTTATTATTGTTAACTTTGTTAGTATTTTGAGAATTTATTTTTTTGTTTCATTTGGCATTTTTAATTTTGCTTTTACAATAATTTTCCAAATTGTTGCTTTTTCCAAGTGTAGCTTATTTTAAAGGTTTAAAAGTTAACGTTTTCTCGTCATGTTATTTCAAAATCTTTACATGTTGGAATAATTATTTGAGTTTATAGTTCTAGAAACTCCTGACAAATCCATTTATGTGCTGAACTTTTTTTTGCTCCTCTTTCCTCTTCTAGCAAGAATCTTCGACGTTCTCGTTGGTTCTTGCTGAACTACATTGCAAGTAATATTTATAAAATAATATATATATGTAATATACTTACATAAAATATTTGTTATATTATATTGATTGACAAGCAGCACCAAAACAAAAACACGTTCTCACAAAGATGATTAATTATATATATATATTTTTTTTTTTCATACATGTTATAACCTACCTATAATGCTTTGTCCACCCATCAAAAATTACCACGAGCCGCCACTGCTTCATGGAGGTTTGTCCTCGCAACGTTAGAGATTAATAACATCAACGAGGCTTATGCCTCCCACCGTTAAAATATACATCATCGAGGCAATTCCTCGCAACTAAAAAAAAGTTATATCACCGAGACGCTTTTTCCCTCGAAGTGATGATTGGATATTTTTATGTTTGTTTATTATGTGTTTTGTGGGGGTAACCAGTTCGCAGTATTTTAAACTCTCAAAGTAAATTGTTTTTTTTTAGTAACTAATCACTTAGATCATGACATAATTTACCATAATGTAAACTCTATGTTTCAATCGTTGAAAAAGTGTGGCAAATATGAATCTCATGTAAATTTTGTTAACTCTGCAAATTTTCACCTCATACAATATTTCTCAATCTCACAGTTTTAACTTCAGTAATTTTCTTTGTTGTGTAATTTTCATTGAACGTAAATTTCATGCTCTGCAGTTTTAACCTCACATAATATTGTTATTTGCACAAGTTTATTTCACACCAGATCTTTTGTTTTATAAATCTCTGCTAGTTTTGTTTTGTAAATATTTTGTTGATGAATGTTTCCACCGTATAAATTATCTGAGGTCCAATTTTAGTCTCACATAAGAATTATTTGTTGTTTAAAATTTCACAAGATTGTATGGCGAATTTAAATGTTGTTTATTGCTCTTTTGAAACTTTAGCACTTGTTCAGTTGTTGTTAATATCAGAGTTATAAGAGATTGAACATTTAAAATGGAACTGAGGTTAAATAACACAGAAAATGTGGCAGAAGCGAAGTGTGGTTCCTAGTCGAGCTGGCGTGATCTTATCGCGTCGCCTGCACAAAAGGTACAGGTTTGGATAGATTCAGGGGCGGTTGCGATGTTGTAGTGCTGTCGACTTCTGTCCTTAGTCGAGACCTAACTGCGGATCTGCGATCGTAATGGCCTAGTTTCGGACGGCATGTTCGTCATGGAGATGTGCTGTGTGGGTAGGCTTGCGATAGATAGAATCACCGTCGAGGGGGGAGAACAGCCCCGATCGGTAGCCCCAAACTCCGCTTGTGCTAGAACGCCCCAGGGGTACTTTTATTGTGCTCCTGTTAACTGCCGTAACTTTAAATTTGACGCCACACACCCTTAATAACTTGTGTATTTGCATCCAGTTACTTGAATACAGCTTTTGCTTTGTTTTTATTAAATTTGTGATATTCAAATATTTGCATTTATTTAAAACATTAGCGTACGGTTTTTGTACTTGTTCGGTTTTCATATGTGTCTGTCTGTCAATTCGCGAGTGTCTTTTCTTTCATATTTTTAAGGGGTTTCATTTGAAATGTAATATGTCCGTAAATATACGATAGGGGGTTTTTGGGGCTGAGGAGTGAATGTTCGCAGCTTCTTTCCTCCTGAGAGGGGTGCCATTTTAGCCCCTCCAAAAAAATGTTGGCTATTATTTCTTGCGCTCTCGAATCACACGTAGTGTATGCTCACTTGTATGAAAGAACGTCTTCCCGCCATGTTGAAAAAAAAACACACAACGTAGTTTCCCATTTGTTAGACGATCACAGCCAAGGCCAAATTTTGAATTTTTGAATTTTTTCGCGGGCCTTTCGAACTTTTTCAAGGTCAATTTAAAGGCGAGAAGATTGGATTAACACAACTTGTTATTTTTATTTATTTTGATTTTGCCCATGTATCCCTGTTGTGTTTACTTAGTATGTACATATTTTGTTTTAACGATGTAATTTTGACGAACTCATTGTGGTGTCCTGAATTTGAAATTTAAATTTCGCGCTGAAAAAAAATTGCAAAACTACACTTGAAATATTAAAAAATAAGAAAATTAGTCAATAACGTAGGCCACTCGCTACGTATTCGTGGCACAATTTTTGTAATGCACAGCAGGCACATTTTTAGAAAGTCACTCACTTCCTGTTTTTAGAAACGTCACTTCTTGTTTAGTGAGTGCAGTAATTAAATACATAATTAATTTTAACAGTGTAAACACGTGTTAAAATTAAGGGTACGTCTCATTTAGTTTGTAATTTCATAAAAAGGGCAGTTTTTTAAATTAAAATAAATCAAATTCAACGCCACAATCCTCCGCAACGAGTGTAATATCAGTTTTTTTAATCTGAAATGTGTAGAACTTTGACTATTCCGTAAACACGTCTCATTTTTATTTTATTGTCTTAAATTCATAGTTCATCTTAAAATTTTTAATTGTTCATATAAAACACCTGGCAATAAATTCATTTGTTCAAACTTAATTTTTTTTTTATGTAACAATACCTAAAAGTTCTGGATGCTGAATTACTCAAGTTATTACATTTTATCCACATTTCATATAACTTTTCACTTGAGATTTTTTACAATAAATGGTTCCTTTATGGTATTTAACTACCTAATCTAAAGCGTTGATCCATTTTAAAAGAAATTACCTTGAAATTTTCATTAATCAAATTATTGTGGACTGGAGGATAAAGGTTAATTTGTGCCTATTTTTTTGATGCCGTTTTTTGTGTATCGCCGTTCGAAGCTGAATTTGGAGATTTTATTATTGAGATTCTCGCACTCAACCTGCCTTATTTCGATTTTTACTGCATTTAACATTTGTGTGCTGTGTTTATTTTGTGTTGTTTGAAGATACAGCTTATGCTACTGCTCACATTCTTAATTATTTTTCAAATTCAAATTTCTCCAAAATGCGGCTTCGCAGCGTTGTTTTTTTTTTCTCTCAGCGCGAAAGTTTAATTCAAACCAGGCGAACCTGGACACTATAAATTTATGCTTTAAATACTAAATACATTTTTAGTCATTTTTTTCTTCATTTATTAGCAGCAAGAAGTAATAATACAGATAATAATATAATAGATAATAGACCAATAATAAATAAATTAATTAATAAATACCATCAATAAGACACACAACTGGAAATCACCAGGACCAGACAAAATCCATAATTTTTGGATAAAAAAATTAAATTGTGTACATATTCATTTACTACATCATTTAAATCAGTTCCTTCTTGACCCATCCTCTTTTCCAACATTCTTATGTCATGGTGTAACATACTTAAAACCTAAAGATAACGACACAAAAAATCCATCAAAATACAGACCTATCACATGTTTACCGACAATCTATAAAATATTAACCTCATGCATTACACAAAAAATATATCAACACTGTTTTAACTCTGACATCATTAATGAAGAACAGAAAGGATGTATTAAAGGATCCTTTGGCTGCAAAGAGCAATTAATCATAGATTCCATCATCTGTGAACAAGCTAGAAAAGAAAACCGAAACATATATACTGCCTTTATTGATTATAAGAAAGCTTACGATTCTGTCCCTCATTCCTGGCTATGCAAAATTCTGGAATTATACAAGATTGATACTAAAATCTGCACATTTCTCAAATGTTCCATGGAATTTTGGAAGACCACCCTCCAAATAACCTTAAATGAACAAACAATTCAGTCAGACCCAATAATGATCCGAAGAGGAATTTTTCAAGGCGATTCTCTTAGCCCGTTATGGTTCTGCTTAGCAATAAATCCCCTCTCCGATATCCTGAACAGCTGCAATTATGGGTTCAATATAAGAATTAACAAACAAAGAGAAAACAGAATAAGTCACTTGCTGTATATGGATGACATAAAAATATATGCAAGTACACAAAATCAGTTAACAAACCTATTAAATCTGACTGAACAATTTTCCGGTGATATCGGTATGTCCTTTGGTATTGAGAAATGTAAGACCCAAGCAATCAGAAAAGGCGTGTTTCACCAAGTACCACATATAACACAGAATAAGGAAATAATTGAAGCCCAAGAACGAAACGATACATACAAATATCTGGGTTTCTGTCAATCCTCCCACATCAATCATACCAAAACGAAAACACAGTTGAAAGATCAATACGTAGCGAGATTAAAATTAATATTGAAGACACAGTTAAATGGAAAAAATTTAATGAAAGCAGTAAACACATTCTGCGTTCCACTGCTAACATATTCTTTTGGAGTCATTAAATGGTCCAAAACTGATCTTGAAAATTTAAACATCGCAACAAGGAAAATCTTCACACAGTATAGAAGGCATCACCCAAAATCGTCGATTGAAAGATTCTCATTACCAAGACAGAATGGAGGAAGGGGTTTCCAGAACTTAGAAAACTTATATCAGAGACAAATCTCAGATTTGAAGAAGTATTTCTTGAAACGAGCGGAAAGAAATGAAATGTTTCGCACCATCACAAGAGCAGATTTGAACCACACACCCTTAAATCTGTCGAACACCGAAGAAATCCACACCCCCCAAACAATAGATAAAATAATAAGTGGGCTAAAACAAAAACAACTGCATGGAAAATTCTACAAAGACTTAGAAGAAAATCATGTCAATAAGAAGATGTCATTGATTTGGTTAAAAAAATCAAGTTTGTATGCCGAAACAGAAGGATTTGTGTTTGCTATTCAAGACCAAGTAATCAATACCAAGAATTATAGAAAATACATCATCAAAGATCCGAACATAAAAAACGACTGCTGTCGCCTATGCAAAGCAAAACCTGAAACGATCCAGCACATAATCTCTTCTTGCAGCATCCTAGCACAAACTGATTACAAAGCTAGACACGACAACGCAGCCAAAATCATTCACAAAGAATTAGCAACACTTATGAACTTAATCGAAGATACGACACCATATTACACTTACATTCCGTCTCCATTCCTTGAAAATAACAAATACAAATTATACTGGGATCGCACAATACTTACAGACTTAAACATTACAGCTAACAGACCAGACATCATACTTATCAAAAAACACACGAACGAAGCCATTCTCATTGACATTGCTATTCCTAACACAAACAACATTATTCAAACATACGACACCAAGATTTCAAAATATCTACAATTATCGATAGAAATGAAATCCATGTTGAATCTTAAAAAAATTTCAATTCTACCCCTAGTTATCTCTAATGTAGGTGTAGTTCCAAATAGCTTAGTTGAGAATTTAAAGTCTTTGCATTTGAATGATTCAATAATTGTCAAAATTCAAAAAGCTGTTTTGTTAGGAACATGTCATATTGTTCGTAAGTTTCTTGAACAGTCTGATCATGTCAGTCAGATTAGATTAGCACCAGTAGGTCAGAGTAGTGTAGGTCACTTTTCATGTGATGCGCGGATAAATGGTCGGTAGTTACGCTGGACTTTTGGGGATGGGGTGAGATTAGAGAATAATAGCAGACTAATTTGTATGCTGTAATTCTAGAATCTCGAAAGTTGTTCTGTTAATCTAATCAATGCATATCATTACTTGGTCTTAGTACCCGTAATGATAGAAGTCTTGCCTGAATGCCGGTCATTTCCGGGTCAGTGGTGGGTCTTAATAATAGTAATAGTAATATTGTAACGTTTAGTGAATTCTTGTATAGTAAAAATGAAAGCTTTTGTAGTCTTATCATATTAATACATTACATAGCTTTGTAAATTAAAAAGGGGAGTTACTGGTTTTGAAACAACTCATTTAAAATTCCATCTCCGTTCTAATGCTGGGTCTTGACATGTTTCCTTAAGGCGGCGTCCCATTTACTTTTGAATGGACATAATTTGCATTCATACCATTTGATCTCCCGCTGTTCACCTGAATGATGCGAAATTGTATGTCGTTTTAAATCCACATTTTGTTTGCCTCTGTAAGGACATTCTTTACATTCATACCATTTAATATCCTGTCTATCTACATGGCGTAGACTCATGTGCTTACGTAAACTTCGAGGATGCTTAGTTTCAAATGTACACATTTTGCATTCGTACCATTTAATATCCTTTTCTTCCAAATGTCGAACATTTATGTGTTCTTTTAAACGAATCCTTGTTTTAGCTTTGTATGAACATTTTTGACATTTATACCATTTCATGTCTTGTTCATTTATATGTTGAGTAGTTATGTGACGTTTTAAATGTGATTTTTCTTTACCTTTATATGGGCATTTTTCACATTCATACCACTTAATATTCTTCTCATCTGTATGCTTTGCATTTGTATGAAGTTTTAAAGAATATGTGTGTTTAGTTTTGAATGGACATTTTTTACATTGGTGCCATTTAATGTCATGTTCATCTAAATGGTGTTTACTTGAGTGACTTTTTAATTGTGTATTGTTTTGAGCTTCATTTGGATAATTTTGACTTTCACACCATTCATTACTCTGTTGATCTGTATGTTCCAAATTTATATGAAGTTCTAAGGAAGACTCAAGTTCAGTTTTATATGGGCATTTTATGCATTGATGCCATTTAATATCTTGTTGATTCAAATGTTGGGTAATTGTGTGTTGTTCTAAACGTTCCGGTCGTTTAGATTTGAATGTACATTTTGTGCATTCATACCATTTAATATCTGTTGTATTATGATGGACTGCACTCATGTGTTTTTTCAAAAGTATTTTATGTTTAGTTTGATATGAACACACAGAGCACAAGTACCAATGTATTTCATCAGCGCTAAGATGTTTGGAAATTCTATGTGTTTTTAAAGAGTCTAGATACCTAAAAACTACTCCACACTCATCACATTTGTAACGCCGACGATTTTCTTTCTTTCCTAGACATTGGGTACGATGTTCACCCCACCTCATGAAAAGCGTTGTTTTGAAATTACAATTGTCACAAGTATATGTTTTGAAGCCATGTTCTGCAATTAATACTACATCTCTGTGGCCCATTTTATCACTGTGAGACTCTTCTAAGTGCTGTTTGATAAGAATTGTCATTGCCGTATGGAAGTTGCAATATTTGCAGTAGTAATTTTCAATAGTGGCCCTTTCACAGTTAAAAGTCGTACGTGAAAACGTTTTGGAATCTTCCACAGTCGACATTTTAGTTCGCCTACAATTAATTACTTTGTTATCATTTTAACAGACCACTAAAAATATCTGAATTTTTTTCGCTTACTGTTTTATTAAAAACTATCGCAAATTCACTTTTTGGTTAACCAAGAAATGTCAATGATAAAGATCAACGTCAAATACGCCCAGCTTATACAACACATCATACAATAATGATTCCAAATACAGTACATCTGTATCTGGTATGTTTCAGAAAAATTAAAATTATACGAACGGAGGTGTAATGAGAGGAGGGAAGATAGAATGAAAACATTTGCTGCAAATTGTTTAACAGAACTTCCCTCGCTCCTGAAGTACAATGAAATATATCCAGCATTTTCGAAAAATTATAAAATTTGATTTTGCACATTTTATATTTTTTATGAGAATCCCTATAAGTTGAAATAAACATATGTAAATATGTAATGCTAAAGTAAATATAAAGGAGCATGCTATGCGTATGTTTCAAATAAGTTTTTAATTTACAAAATTTTATTATGACGTCAATCATCACTTTTGCAAGAACACGTATTTCAACTTAGGCTGGTGCAGTAATACTAACAATAACGTATTATATACGCCCCCCCAATTTGGGAAAAATGCAAGAGTTCAAGGCATTCAGTTTTGCAGTTCTTGATTTAATCAATAAAATAAATTGAGTAATTTTTTTTGTATCACCCTGTATAAGCAAATCGAAAAAATATGCGTGCAAATGCAGTAATTTCTATATGTGCAGTATACTTTATTGAGCGGTAAAAAAAGCGAAATAAGAATGAGAAACGATAGGTATTGCAAACAAGACTCATCAGGCGGCAGCTCTTTGGGCAGGTAGCTGTCCTGATGCAAATCATATATAATTGGAAAACCCGGAAGTGGCCAATTTTGCATTTTGCACAATTTTGAGATCACATGTGGCAACAAACGGTTATAGATCACTAAAGTAATGTCTGTTATAGTAATTAGGGCAAAAATGCCTTAATTGAGAAGATCTCCTGGATTTTATTTTCTGGACAATGCCATGATCTGAATTTCGAAGGCCACTGAAGGACCAATCGAAGAACAGCACTGTTCCAAAAACGCGAGGATCTTCGCTTCATGGTCATGGTTTAAGTCGACAATTTCAATATTTTCAGCTTTTATAGAGGGTTATTCAGCTAAGATGACCCATTTATGTTTTTAAAATAGGCAACCTAAAATACTGATTCCACCTGAACCGGGATTACAAAAAATGTTTCAAAATTAAATTGTATCAAAATTTGCTAAATGTATAGAAACGTCAGTCAACGTCAGTGTCAGAAAAACGCCTATGCATGCATTCAATAACGAGAAAACCGAGATGATCCTTAGTTATGGACACATTATGGAGAATGACATAAAAAGGCTAAGCGTACAGCAAAATTGTATGCCGGAAGATACCCTGACCGTGTGGTCCCAACACCCAAAATTTTCAAGAGGCTAGAAAATTCGTTGCGTAAGAAAGTGGCTTGCTAACAAGAGGAAACGGAACCAGACTGCGACTAGCTTGGAAAATCAAGTATAACTTCTTGCACAAGAGTGTGTTTTGTTCAGTGATGAAGCCAAAGTCAGCAATTTATGACAGTTGTATGACAGTCTTAAATTTATTGAATGTGTTTCGTTCACCTACCAGGCAATAAAAAAACACAATTTGCCCACAAAAATCTCTTTTAGATGCGGCAAACATGTCGGTTTTCTCGTTATTATCGTAAGAATGCATAGTCATTTTTCTGACACTGACGTTTCTATATACTTATCTTATAAGCAAACTTTGATACAATTCAATTTTGAAACATTTTTTGTAATCCAGGCTCAAGTGGAATCGGTATTATGGGTCGCCTATTTTAAAAACAGAAATGGGTCATCTTAACTGAATAACCCTGTATATAGTTCCACACACCTAATCCTAATCCTAAATAAGTTTTCTTTCTTCCCAGGCAATGAAAGAAAAGCTTCGGGTTTCCATCGGAGTCGACTCATTTGACTGCGTTATTTGGGATCGAAACCTGGTGCTGCAACTTAGGTACGAACTCAAAGATTCAACAGAAGTTGAGTACTCTCTTCGGGTTCTGTAATTAATCGATTAGCTGATTCCTGATGTAGTCCAAGGAGGTGTTGATGCGAAAACTTGCTAGGTTATAGTCAACAGAGCCTAGGGAGAATTTTTGTGGACCTCAAACTCTCCCTGGAAGGCTAAAGGATAGCACCCAGGCAAGGATTCGGTAGATGCTGGAAGACACTCCACCCAAGGAACCTCTACTTGGAATTTCATAGCGACAGGCAATGGAACGGACAATTCTATTATAGAAATTTTTCCCAGGCCACAAGTTCCATAAAGACTCAGCTCAAGGCAATAAGGATGCTCTCTTTTTATTCTGTCGCTTGCTTTCCATTTTTAGTTTTGTTTGTATATTATAGTCCATTCATGTTGTGGCAGGATGCAATACATCTCTTAAATAAGTACTAAGAGTACTTCTAAAACATCTTGTAATTATATGTCTATAACTAAACCCTCTTCTGAAACTTTATAGTACCTGTCAACAACAGAACATAAGAAACGTAGTGAGAGTTAGTAATAGCAAGCAAACCTGAGTTACGAACTAAAGAATAAATGAAAAAAAATAGTCGAAAGTTATTTCGACAGAACTCTAGAACCCAAAAGCACAGTCGAACAAATACAACTTCGAAAAATTGTTAATTTTAACTTAAATTAATAACAATAAAATGTTTAGAATTTCTAGAATTCAGTTATTAATTTTTGAAATTTCCATAAGTTCCAGATTTTCCAAATTTTACAAAAATATCAGTCTTCGGATAAGCCAGAATTCAACATTTTCTTCGGCTTTCAAGATTTTTAGGTCTTGCAGATTTTTCACACTTTCTAGGTATTTCCAGATTTTCTAAAATTTAAGGATCTTAATAAGAAGAGTCTTTAAATCTTTGGCATCTTTAGATTCTGTAAGATTTACAAGATAATAATTAAGGTGTTACATCTAGTGCTTTTTCTAGATTTTATAAAATTAAAGAAAGCATTGTTCAGATTTTTACAATTTTTATATTTTTAGGATTTTTGTTTGTTTAGAGTCTTTGGAAACTTTAAAATCTTTGTACTTTAAGAGTTCATGCGATTTTTATAATTTGTAGAATCTTTGAAATATTTGGAAAAGAATTTTAATTTTTTTAACGATTGGGTCCTTAGTGTATTCAGAATCTTTAGCCTTTGGACTCTTTAGAATCCTCAGAGTTCTCAGAGTTGCAAAGTTTAAAATTTTAAAATTTATAGGAAGACTAGTACCTCTAAGATCTTAATTTTTTTAAAATTTTGTTGGATCCTTCTGGAACTATTTAGAAATTTTTGTGTCTTTACAATTCGCAATTTATAGTTGATGGAAACTTTAAGATCTCTAGAATGTCTGGAGTTTTTACAGTCTTTGAAACTTTTGAAAACTTTTAAATCTTTCAAACCTTCGAAAACTTAGAAATATTTAGAATATCTACAATCTTAAGATTTTGAATTTTTTTCTAATTTTTTGAATTTCCAAATTTTCCAAGATTTCTAGGTTTACCAAATTGTTACCACTTTCTAAATTTTTCCAAATTTTACAAAATTAATAGACTTCAAAAGTCTAAATCTTTGTAATTTTTTGAATCTCCGGAATCTTTACAATCTCCAATTAAGGAGTTCAAAGCTTTTAGTGCTTTCAGGTTTTATAAAAATTAAAGAAATCATTCCTCAGATCTTCACAATTTTTAGCTCTTTAGAATTTGTATTTCCTTTAGGGTCTTTGGAATCTTTAAAATTTTTGGCACTTTAAGAGTTCACGCGATTTTTACAACTTTAGAATCTTTGAAATAGAATTTAAAAAATCTTTTGAACTTTTGAGTCCTTAGAGTCTTTAAAATCTTTAGAGTCTTAAAATCCTTTTCCTTTAGAATGTTTAGTGTTTTTAGTTTTTAAAGTCTTCAGACTCTTTAGACTCTTTATAGTAGCTATTTCCAATCTTTGGAAATTTTGAACAATATAGAACTACTAGAAGTTTTATAAAGTTTAGAATTTTTACAATTTCTAGGATTGTTAGTATTTTCAAGCTCTTTAAAATTTTTAAGATTGTGCTGGATCTTTCTTATATTTAGAACATTAGAACTTTAGTTTATTTAGAATTTTTGGTGTATTTACAATTCGCAATTTCTAATGTATGGAATCTTAAGGTCTTTAGAAAGTCTCGAATGTTTAGAATCCTTTGAAGCTTTTACACTGGAAACTTAGCTTATGTTCAGGAAATAAAAAGGATAACGAGGCGAAAACCATCTGAAGCGTTTTTCTGAATAGTGTAATTTTTCCACACATAAAACTAAATTCATGTCTGGGGCCGGCCCTGGGGTACCTCGGAATCGGCGTCCATGCCGATACCAAACTTGTTAACTTTCCGGTGTATAATTACCCACTCAAGTAAGGTTAGAATCGACCACTGCGCGGTAGTTCATTATTCAAAAATTTTACTATGGGTTTCTTGTGGGAGCTTGATCTTACAGACAAAATAGGTAGAAATTTTAACTAGCGATAATGGCTCTACAATTATTTTCCTGTTACTATGGGTTTAACTTTGTAAAAAGCTTGTGTTAAAGAAATATTGCAAATTAAAAAACATAAATAAGCAACTAATTTCACTGATTTTATTCTGTTCTAGACCTTTTACTTGTTCTGGGTACATTTCTCTTATCAATTTTGGAGTTTTAACTCCTTTCTTTTCGTATTATAGAACACGTATTAGACGCGCCGGAATAGGACGTCTAGTTCGACACCAACACCGACACCGGTCTGAACTGAATCTCAACATAGGCATGTAACGCCGCGCTATATTATAATAATTAGATATTTCTATATGATAAATAAATTAAAAAAGTATATTTTATAATAAACAACAATTGACAATACATGGATATTTACTTTAATTAACCCAATCATCATCATTATTCATCATTTTTGCAAAAACACAAAGGCAACATATTTGTTTTTTTTTTATATTTTTTAAAAGAAAATTAATGACCTCGCCGCGTATACGTGTTTAATTTTTATAAATTGACAACGCAGAGTTAAAACTCCATCCGTACGTCCCTGGGCCGACGCACTCTTTTTTTCTCTAATAATAAGTCTGTTTAAAGCAGATAACCAAGGGGGAAATATTTTTTATTAATATATGCTTAAGTTCAACTTGCTAAAGCTTGTTTGCTCACTTCACCATAAAATATATATTTTTTAAAAATAGGGGAAAGATAGAATAGAGTTGTACGCGTTTTATTGATGTCATCTAAAATGCTTAACATTTAGCACCAAATGGACACTTCTCATTCGTAAATTATTTGGAATTCTCTCCAGTCAAATGACGTGCCTTCATGTGATTTCTTAAAGACGATCTGTATTTACTTTTAAATGAACATTGTCTGCACTCATACCATTTAATATCCTTTTCATCTAAATGGCGTGCATTTATATGTATACTTAAACTTGAATACTGTTTAGTTTTATATGCACACTTTTTGCATTCATACCATTTAACGTCCTTTGTTTCTACATGTCCGCTTTCGTGAGTTGTTAATTTCCATTTAAATTTGCTTTTGAATGGACATTTTTCACATTCGTACCACGTGACATCTCGTTCGTCTACATGGTGAGTAATTACGTGACTACTCAAACATCCTTTATGTTTTGACTTGTATGTACATTGCCCACATTCATACCACTTAATATCTTTTTCATCTAAATGGTATTTATTTATGTGTACACTTAAACCTCCATTGAATTTAGTTTTATATGGACACTTTTGACATTCGTACCATTTAACATCCTGTTCTCCTAAATGGCGAGCATTTATGTGGCTTTTTAAAGATCCTTTATTTTTAGCTTTATATGAACACTCTTTACATTGATACCATTTAATTTCTTTTTCATCTAAATGGCGGTTAATGATATGACTTTTGAGGTGATGTTGCTGTTTAGCTTTATATGAACACTTTGTACAGTGATAGCTAAACATTCTCTCATCACTGAGGTGGGTTAAAATTTTGTGTTGCTTTAATCTATGCTTGTACTCACATTTGAATTCACAATCATCACATTGATACATGACTATATCATTTCCAGTGTTATGAATAGAAGTTATAACTTCTGGACTTTTTTGGTTTTGAATACATTCTCTGATATGCTGATGCCACTTTCGGATGGTGTATTCTCCAATTAACGCATTTTCTTCGTTTTCTCTCTTAATGAGATGACGCTGTTGAAGGTGTTGTTTAAAACACAGTGTTAGTTCAGTTTGAAAATTGCAGTCTTTGCAATAATAGGTTTCAAGGGAGGTACTTTCACAATTGAAATGGTGTAATGGCGAACTGTGACGTCTGGCGTGATTTACCATAACAAAAAAGGATTTTGTAAAGTATGGACACTCTTTACAATTGTGGACATTCTTTAAAGTAGGTGTCAAACTTGCAAAAAACCCTTCAGAATATTCCAAAGTTGGCATTTCAATTTATCTGAAATGAATTACTTTTATTTAAAAATGGAAGGAATGTTTTATTGTTCTCACCCTACACTTCGAGACGTAATTGTTAAAAGTGACGAAATGTGTGGCAATTGGACCAAATCAATCAATTTTTGTTTCACATTAGACAACTTAACCTCAAAAACGGAGTAGTTAGTTATCTAAGTTATGCAACACATTATACTAACACTCGGATTTTTAAAGCTCGTTTCAAATCGATATATTCTCAAGACGTTAATTTTGTATTTACAAATTTTTGTGTAAATAACTCAACAGATTTTCACTTTTATTTGACATTTTTTGTATATTGAAATCAATATCAATTTTAAATAAATAAAAAAATACGTGTGATCAAATGAAAATATATTTAATTTGTTACTAACACATTGGGAACTACAAAAACTGGGAAACACTTGTACAATTCTTATAACTTAAACTAATAACTCTGATCTAACATTAGCACTTGTAGACTATAACCAGCTTAAACAAAAATACAGTTCCTATTATTAAAAATCTTGCTTATCAATGAGTCTCTGTTTATCTAATGATGAACTATTTAGTTTTGAATTGACACTTTTTGCATTCACACCATACTTTTTGTGTCCATTCTCAATGGTATGAATGCAAAAAGAGTTGTTCAAAACTAAAGTTGACTGGAGAATGTGTTCAAGAGTGTGTTCCTCAGTTAGCGAATCTTCTCAATGTTCAGGTTTTCTGTTGTGAAGTTTTCATTCGCCATCTTGTAAAGTATGAGTCAATCTTCCAAGAAATGTCCATCATTGTAAAGTTTGTTCGTTCGACAAACTTTACAATGATGGTCATGCTTAAAACATCTTAAATTAGCAATGACATCCTTGTTGACTTCTGGTTCGGCTAAATTCATATTAAATAATATAAAAGCTTTATTATCTTTTCTTACCCAACCATCTAATAATGATTAACCTAGAAGTTTGATCTACATTTGTCCTCAACGTTATAACTTGATTAATTAACCGTTATTATGTAGATGAAGTACAACATACAGTTATTTCTTACCTACACTTTAATAAAAAACGCTCCACATTTTCTGATAATCATAAAAGTATGGTCCATGAATTTAATATGAACCGCCACGCTAACGTAAACCACATAACCTCAAACTTCAATAATGGCATTTGTCAATCCAAATTTTCTTTACTGCTGGACAGCAGTTGCTATTTTAAAAACAAATTGCCTGCCCTTAAAAAATGTAATAAAAATTATTGTCCAAATTATATAGAGAATACAGAAAGGAAACAAAACTTACTTTTTTAACGAATAATTTTTGTCTGTTGCCAACATTACAACAAATTTCCCTAACTTAGAAACTAAAGATAATGTATGCAATATACAATACACTATTAAAAGTATAAATCTTTACAACCAAAATAGTTACTGGTTACTAACTGATACGTTAAGATAAATTTAATTACTAACGATTTTTTTTTTACATTTTTATTTCCTTTCCTTCTACCACTTCCTTAGGAAACTGATATGATGAGTATAATGTGTCTTATCAATTAGTTCTAGTGATTTTATGCAGTATTATATTCCGTTTTTGGAGCAACCATTTTTTTTTTTTTGATAATTAATAATAAAAATAATTAATAGAAAATAGAATCTATTCACAAACAATTTATTATCAAAATAAACAAAAATAATTAACTGTTTTGTAAATATGATAATAAAACTTTTTTCTATTGCATTTTTAAAATTTAAGCGAATAATATAATATAGAGTGCATATGATATTGTTACGAAATAAACCCATATGCCGTCCCGGTACGACGTCTAAGGGTTCTAGTAGTCCGGCAATGATGACTCATTGTCGGTGACGGCGGCCGGAAAAAAGCCTGGAAGCGGAAGTAGCGAATGGGTGCTCCAGACAAGTCTAGAAGCGGTTAGGATGGCGAGCGCTGTTCTCGATCGATCGAAAGGAACGTATAGGTTTAAATAGAGGCCACCGTCGGGAACGAGGATTATTCAATCGAGTCGAGTCCAGCGAGTGTCGAGAAAATCCTGTCAAGTTGCGCTGTAATTAGTCGTGTAAATTCGAGTTACTAAGAAATAAATTGTTGATATGAGTTGAGTTTAACCTACGCCGTTTTTATTCACACGTTCAACGTAACAATATTTAGACTTAAAATTTACGCTCTGATTTCTTATTTATTTTCTTCATCAAGTATTCCATCTGTATAATTTAAATTTTGTATTTCTTCATTAAAGCTTGATCCTGTAATTGTAACTTTCTGATAGTTGCCTAAGTTTGCTGCTGGGACTTTGTCGTGCCCAAATAGTTTTTGACCGCGGTCGAGCATTTGGACACTAACAAAATTATTTATTTGGGTGTAGGCCCATTTCCTTGGAAATGGAAGAGCTAAACTGCATGTGGGAGAAGAGGTAATAATTAAACATTTCTAACATTTTAATACATATATTGAAAGAAAGAATTACAACCATATCAAAAGGATAATTGAGTAAATATGTAAATGGAGAACGGCAAAAATAAAACATGAGAATAAATTTACATAATGCAAAACTATATTTAAAGCGCTACGCAATTGTGTTTGTTCAGTCTACCTGAACAGGGGTTTGGGCGTAGCCAATTTGTCCACCCTACTCCCACCCGTTTTAGGGTAGTTTACCTAATTTTTATTATTTCATGCTCTCGGGGAGTCGTCGAGAAGTATCGTGAGGGTAAAGACGTGCCGACCCGAGAGACCGGCATTTTATATTATTTGTGCGTTATTAAATAAACCGTGTAACTACGAGTAAAAGGTGATTTTATTTCGCGCAAAACATTTTGGTCCTTCGAGCCGGATTTCTCGCGGAATTAGTGGTACTGTTCTCGCCTGTATCGTCGATAAAAGCTTCACGTCCAAGACAATCTTGAGCATCGTGGCATCCAACGACGACAGCATCCCCAGAACTTCTGCAACAGCTTCACATCCGAAGACGACGACATCCACAAAGCGTAGACGACTTCTTCAGCAGCTTCACGTCCAAGGCAATCTTGAGCATCGTGACATCTGACGACGACACATCGCCAGACTGTAGAGGACTACAACAGCATCGCCAGACCGTAGACGACTTCTTCGGCAGCTTCACGTCCAGGGCAATCTTGAGCATCGTGACATCTGACGACAACCAGTAAGTGCAGTTCATTCCTTTTTCATTAGTCCTTTATTTCGTATCAGTGTTAAGTAGATTATCGTTGAATCATTAGTGAACAATGACTAGTGAAAAACTTTCTGGTTTAAATATTAAGCGGGGAACGCTAAAACGCAAATTAACCATGGCTCAAAACGTAATAAACGAGTTAAAGTCATCTAAAGAAAGCCCAGCTTGTTTGGCAAAAGTACAAGAATGTTTGACTAGAACCGGGTCAATTTATGACGAATTTTTCGACATTCAAGGTGAAATTGAGGAATTGGAAACGGTTTTAAAACTAGCATCTACCGCAGATCAATGCAACACCTTTCACAAGGAATTTTATAGCGTTATGTGCGAATTAAAAGCATTGGAAGCCAAATATTCAGCCAAATCTGCAAAAAAATCGGATATTAGTAGAGTTCAAAATAGCGCGGTTAATGTAAAACTGCCAGAATTAACGTTACCCTCGTTTGATGGCTCATACACAGAATGGACTTCTTTCCACGACACATTTTCCGCTCTTGTTGACGAAAATAATGACCTTTCAGAGATTCATAAATTTCATTATCTAAAGTCTTGCCTAAAGGGCAAGGCAATAAAAATCATCGAATCATTAAAGGTAACTAGTGAAAATTACGAACCCGCTTGGAATCTGTTAAAAAACCGGTATAGCAATCCAAGATTAATTGTGCAAGATCACATTTTTGGCATTTTAAATAATTCTAATATTAATAAACCCTCGCATGAAGAGTTAAGAAAGTTATTGGACAGTGTTAATAGCCATTTAGAAGCGCTCACAGTTCATAATGTTGATCACGCTAAATTTCGAGACATCATGTTAGTATCAATAATTTCAGAAAAACTAGATTTTGTTTCAAAAAGAGAATGGCAGGGTAAATTAAGTTCGGAACTTCCAACTTGGGAAGACCTGAAACAATTTTTGGAGAAACGGTGTGAAACGTTAGAAACACTCCATTTAATGTCTAATAAATCGAATAATAATTGTCAAGAAACCCATTCAAAAAAGGGGAATATTAGAGTAGCAGCAATATCAACAAATAAAAACAAGAAGGCAAAATTTAATACCAATTCAAACAGATCAGTAATGTGCCCATATTGTTCCGATCCTCACTATTTATTTCATTGCGCAAAATTCATTAACCTAATGGTAACAGATAGGTTAAGGATCGTGAGGTCCAAAAAACTATGTTCTAATTGTTTTCAGAACAGTCATACGGTTGCGGAATGTAAATCGTCGTATGTCTGTAAAATTTGTAAGGGACATCACAATGCGTTGTTACATGTAGATAATCCCGAGCCAAACGAAATACCAAGTACGAGCAGTGAAAATAATCAAGTCGAATCAGATCAATCCGTTGTTCTTAAGGTAAATTCTCGACAAGTTTATTTTAGTAAGGTTGTACTTCCAACAGCCCAGGTACAAATTTATGATAAATCGGGAAATAAACATCAAGTGCGGGCACTGTTAGATAGCGGCTCCGAATTAAATTTTATTTCAGAGCGAATGTCAAAATTATTAAATCTTAAATCACAACCGATCGTTTTGTCAATCGCTGGTGTCAATCGTTGTAATACTAGTGCCTCACAATTAGCAAGTATCAAAATTCATTCTAATTACCGACATTATGATTTGAACCTTTCATGTGTTATTTTGCCACAGATCTCGGAATTTTTACCATCCACGTCATTTTCAATCGCTAATTTAGAGTTTCCGCACCACATAAAATTAGCAGATCCCGCATTTCATGTCAAAGGGACGATAGATTTATTGTTAGGTGCTCAAGCCTTCTTCGAAATTTTAGAGCCTAATCGGAGATGTTTGAATAAGGACTTTATTTTACAGGAAACTAAATTCGGTTGGGTAGTGGTTAATGCTCATGGAGATAATCCGGGGGTTGTAAAACAGGGTTCTTGTTATTATACCCAACCCGTCCTTGAACAAATGGTTGGAAAGTTCTGGGAATTAGACGAATTTAAAACTTCCGCAAAACCTCAATCGGCCGACGAAATCCTATGCGAAAAGAAATTTATGGAGGGTCATAAACGTTTAGAAATGGGAAGGTATTCGGTACCACTTCCGTTCAAGGCGGAAAACCCAAACTTAGGTACTTCTCGGGAAGGGGCCATAAAACGTTTTAAATCGTTAGAATGTAAATTCCGAAAGGACGAGAATTTTAAATTATCCTATTCGGCAGTAATTACAGACTATTTACAACAAGGTCATGCGGAACAAGTTCCTGAAGACGAAATTGATAATCCAGGTAGTTATTATTTACCACACCACGGTGTTCTTAAAGAAAGTACCACGACACAATTACGTATTGTGTTTGACGCATCATTTAGATCATCTAATCATAAAAGCCTAAACGACGAGTTATTAGTTGGTCCAAAAATCCACTCGGATTTATATCCTATATTATTGCGTTTCCGCGAACACATAGTCGCATTTACCGCAGACATTTCACAGATGTATAGGCAGATAGGAGTTCATCCGGAGTACCACGATTACCAGAGATTGGTTTGGCGATTCGATGAAAATCTTCCAATTCAGACGTACAGACTTAAAACAGTAACCTTTGGAATCACTTCGGCGCCTTTTCTCGCGATCCGAACGTTACACCAACTCGCTAACGATGAAAGGAAAACCTATCCAAATGCACATCATCATATAATTAACAACATGTATGTTGACGATTTGATAAGTGGTAGCGATACTTTAGAAAATGCTGTAAAGCTTAAGACCGAAATAACCGACTGTTTGTTACGAGGTTGCTTTCAATTACGTAAATGGGCGTCAAATAACAAGGCATTATTGCCTGAAAATATATGCAGTTCTTCCGAAATTAATCTAGATAAGGAAGGGATTTCTAAAACATTAGGTATTATATGGGATTGTAAATCGGACAATATTCGGTATCGGATAAACTTAAAAGACACATATTCAACAATATCGAAGCGCACTGTATTGTCTATCATTGCTCAATTATTTGATCCTCTGGGATTGATTGCGCCAGTAATTGTTACCGCAAAAATCATCCTCCAACAACTGTGGATAGCGAAATTGGGTTGGGACGAAGGGTTACCTGATCATCTCGAATGTCAATGGATTAATTTTATGCAAACATTATCAGATCTCAACGATATAGTCATTCCGCGTTGCGTTTTAAGTGGTCAAGTTCCGGTTCGTACAGAATTACATGGGTTCTGTGATTCCTCACAATTGGCGTATGGGGCGTGTATTTTTATTAAAACAATCCAAAAAACAGGGGATATTAAGGTTCATTTATTAACCGCCAAATCGAGGGTGGCACCAATTAAAACACAGACGTTACCTCGATTAGAATTGTGTGGAGCCGTATTATTAGCGGAGTTAACAGCGCAGGTGAGAGCCAGTCTAAGATGTAATATTAGCGGTGAATTCTATTATACTGATTCTACCATCGTTCTAAGTTGGTTAGCAGCGACACCAAGTACATGGACCACATTTGTTGCCAATCGAGTCTCTAAAATTCAATCGTTGACAAGAGTAGAGAATTGGAATCACGTATCGTCATCATCAAACCCCGCAGATATTCTTTCTCGAGGTTGCAGTCCGAAACAATTGATTGACAACCAATTATGGTTCAATGGACCAATGTTATTACGTGAAAAGGTCGCACATTCTACTGATCTTAAGGTATTAATAAATAATTTCGAAGTTGAAGAACGACGTCAGGCCGTCTGTTCAAAGGCAGTAGTACACAATAAAGATCAATCGCCATCAGATTTATTATTAAGGTACTCATCATTTTCAAAATTAATTAACGTAGTAGCCTTTTGTTTACGATTTTACAACAGAGTCAGATATAGACAAGGTGTAAATGGCGCACTAACTGTAAAAGAAATTGAAAATAGTCGCAACGTTATTATTAAAATGGTCCAACAGGAATCATTTCCTGAGGAATTCAAATGTCTCATAAAAGGTAATGCCTTACCAAAATCTAGTCCTTTAATCAAATTAAATCCCTTTCTAGACGATAATTTATTAATACGAGTGGGTGGTAGACTCGTCAATGCAAATATTTTGTTTGATAAAAAATTTCCCTTGGTTATTCCAAAATTACACCATATTACAAAATTAATTGTACTACAGACACACTTGCGTCAGTTACATGCTGGACCGCAAGCGACTTTAGCAGTTATTAGACAAACATATTGGCCTATCGGCGGACGTGACATAATTAGGAAAATTCTCCACGAATGTGTACTTTGCAGACGTTCGAAACCGATTCCCTATGAAGAAATAATGGGAAATTTACCTGAAGATAGAGTAAATCTAGTACGACCATTCCTTAATTGTGGGGTCGATTACGCCGGCCCAATTCTAATCCGAGAAGGGAGGGGTCGTGGAAAAAAGTCTATAAAGGCTTATATTTGTTTGTTTGTTTGTTTTGCCACCAAGGCAGTTCACCTTGAATTAGTCACCGACTGTACTTCGTTAGCCTTTATTGGAGCCTTCAAAAGATTTATGTCTCGAAGAGGAAAACCTTCAAATATTTATTCCGATAACGCAACAAATTTTAAGGGAGCCAATCGCGAATTACGAGTCATACATTTCGATGTTATTAAATCTGATGCCTTTCGTAAATTTATTAATGATTGCGCGGGTAATAATGTTAATTGGCGTTTTATCCCACCTCGCTCACCACACGTTGGTGGAATTTGGGAAGCAGGCATTAAGTCCATGAAATACCATCTAAAACGAGTTATAGGGCAGTCATTGTTCACATATGAGGAAATGTATACCTATTTGACATTGATCGAGGCGTGTCTTAACTCACGACCTATAACTCCATTATCCTCAAATCCCGACGATCTATCCGCACTTACCCCTGGCCACTTTCTGATCGGTACTGCACTTACGTCACCTGCCGAACCTGATGTAAGCGACATCAACATTCACCGACTGGGTCAATGGGAAAAGATCCAGCAGTTACGACAACATTTCTGGAAAAGGTGGTCCAGGGAGTATTTGGTCGAGCTTCAACAACGATCGAAGTGGGCAACTTCCGTCCGATCGGCCACTGTGGGCGACATCGTCATCGTGCACGAGGATAACGTGCCCCCGTTGTGTTGGTGTCTCGGTCGAGTTGAAATCATACATCCCGGTCGTGATGGTAAAATAAGGACTGTGTCAGTGCGAACCAGAAACGGGATAGTGCAAAGATCAGTGCGGAAATTAAGCCCGTTACCAATTTAATGCGCAATTGGGCTATAGATGCGTATATATATCTCATTTTATTATTGGACTCTTGTTAATTTCAATTTAATTCCTGTTATATGATCTTAGTTGACATGTATTCTTTTATTTAGGCATTTTTTGTTTCTTTATTATTATGTACTATTTATCACAATAAGTAGGTCATCCTTGAAGTTAGTACTTCAACGGGGGGACTATGTTCAGTCTACCTGAACAGGGGTTTGGGCGTAGCCAATTTGTCCACCCTACTCCCACCCGTTTTAGGGTAGTTTACCTAATTTTTATTATTTCATGCTCTCGGGGAGTCGTCGAGAAGTATCGTGAGGGTAAAGACGTGCCGACCCGAGAGACCGGCATTTTATATTATTTGTGCGTTATTAAATAAACCGTGTAACTACGAGTAAAAGGTGATTTTATTTCGCGCAAAACAGTGTTCCATTATTAAAAACCTTAAAATTTATGAACATAACCCACGACTAAAATTAAATTTAATCCTAAAATCATCATGCAATTAAAACTTGAAATTAATTCAGTAAATTCCTAATTATGTGCGATATCTTCTAAACAATATTAATATTACGCGCGTGATAAATAAACTTCGAAAACTACTACGAATTCGAGTATTTACTTAAGTATTTAATAAACTGCGATTGGGCATTTATCCGCTAATTAAGTACTATTAAAACAGCTAAAAACAATTAAAAAACTAATAATTCATTTGCTCACGAGAAAATCAGCGGTTACGGGACAGTTAAATAAATGCAAAAATGAATAGTCAGAGTCTTTAAGTACAGATAAACGTTTGGAAATTAGTACCATAAATGCGTTAAAATACAGTGAAATCATATTTAAACGGCAATAAATTCAAAATAAAATTATCGAGTGCAAGAAAATCAAATAAAAATGGTTTCAGTTTGGAAACTTCCCAAAAACTCATCTAAAATATCCGTGTCGCAAACGAAGGGGTTGAATCCGCAAATTAAGGAAACGTTGGAATGATTATTATAATAGAAAACGATTGGTAAATTATAGAAAAATCCTCACCCACGACTAAGGCCAAACGTGCCACCCGCAAACGAGAACATCTGGTAACGCTAAAAATTCCTTTCGCCCCCGGCGCTATCTGTTCACACCAAACGTACGAAGATCCCCCGACTAAAACGCATAAATTAAACGCTTCATACGTACGACCGAACTCGAGAACACATTATGAAAAATTGAAAGCAAGATAACTTAAGGATGACTAAAGACAGACTTACACAGACGCAGCATTGAGAATTTTCTATCTTTTTCTCGGGCTCAGCAATTTTTTCCAAGTTCGGATTTCTTCAAAATTCAGCAAAAATGGTTAAAAAACTCGATACGAAAATGGGCATAGTCTTCGACCGCAACTCGAAACTTGAATGAATATCACTTCCGGCGCTATTGCTTTTATAGGGACTTTTACCCATTAATCTTGTCTCCCGCGACGTTAGTAAGCCATATTTCTTCGTGATTTATGTGTTACTCGGAACACGTTTTTTTGATGTTTTTTATGCGTCTGCGTTTCGTTTGCAGCTGTTTTAGTTTGGATACAATTTCGGATGAAAGTAATTGCGATTGCGATTTTTATGGTGTACGATTCTGTACATGTTGTTTGCAATGTCTGACAAGCGCAATGATATTTGCAATTTCCGAATATGCGAATTTTGTTCCTACGTTCGGGGATTGGTGGTTGAGTTGGATTGTCTATTTGAATGGTACTATATGCAGATTAGGACATTCGTGTTAAGTAATTAAGATTTGCAAATTTTCGAATTTTGTTGTTACGTTTTGGGGGTTTGTTATTCGTCTTTTTGTTACGATTTTCTCGTGAACGAATTTAGTGACGGTTCGTCACAACTTATTCGATTAACCACCTACCCTTGGAACGAGAGACCATCAGAAGATCGTGCTCTTAAGAATTCAGAAAGAAATTAATCGTATCCTTTTTTAATGCAGTATTTTTCCATTGCTGCGATTGCTTGGGTAATTTGGAGGAAAAAATCCCAGAATGGATTGAAAAAAAACAACAAGTAAATTTTCCGTCCAAGAATAATCAGTTCTAAATGTGGTTAAATAAGCAGTAAATGATTATTATTGATTCGAAAAAATAACGCAGAAGTATTTAATACCTAATTACTTACTGTTACAAAACATTAGGAGTAAACGGTGACCGACAGATTAAGATTTAGATTTGTATGTTGTAGAACATTATAACTTTAGAACAGTTTTCTATTAGTACTTTTGAAAAGAACGATTGCGTTCGTTTAGGAGTGTCATACAACGTATATGCATATGTTGGGTTAAGAAATTAGAGTACCTTTATCGCTCTATTTTTATTGTTTCAAGTCTAATTTAATCCATGTACAATAATGTTTTATTAGTTATTTTCTAAAGTTTGTGTAAGCCAGTTATTATACCAATCTACTCTTGTATATCCCTTTGGATAAGCACTTTCGCAGCCGTTTTGACTTACCCAGCTAGAAATAGCCATTACTGAAGTTCCATTTCCAGAGGTAGCTCTAGATAACAGGGGTCCACCGATGTCTCCCTTTAAATTCGAATATTCCTATAATTCGAAGCATGCATATATTTAATTAGAAAAACTCACAAAACATATTCCTTCATTGTTTGTAAGGCCTACTGTACAAAGCATACCATCTACGATTTGGTCACCATAGTAAATACTACATTCTTTCGACTGGATAATAGAAACGTCAACTGTTTGAAGGTCATTAATTAAATTAGTATCAGCTAAAATAAAAAAAAAATACAAAAAGGAATTTCAAAATTGTGATTATTACCATCACTCGCTTGTCCCCATCCTGTAACTGTTAAAACGGCACCTGGATACAACATTCCCATTCTACCATAATAGTCAACAGGTTTGATATAGTCTGTATAGAAAAGATACAGTCACTAGAGAATAATGTTGCACAAAGGTTATATTCGGAGTCAATAAGGGTTTAGCGGAGAATGTTCATGCGACTTTCACATGATCATTAATAATTACAGTTCTTAAGATTCTAATTTAAGTAAAAGTACCTGTGAAATTTATCGGTTCGTTTAACTTTATAACAGCCATGTCATGGGCAAGACTGACAGTAGGATCAAACCGGTCGTTTATGAAATATTTCGACGCAGTTACAGTAAGACGATTGGGATCTGTTCCCGAGAGCTGATTAGATCCCAACTGTATAGTAAACGATGTAGCTCTAAAATTGTCAATTAATTTTTCTAGGAAAATAAAATAAAGCACGGTTTACTCGTATGCACATTGGGCTGCTGTCAGAATCCACTGGTCGTTGAGAAGAGTTCCACCACAGAAGTATCTTCCATCTGGTTTAGTAGTGTAGATGGCAGCCTGCCATGGGTACTCGCCAACTGCGGCTGGATTGCCACCTATGATTCGTCCTTGTTTTGCAATGCCTCCGTCTAAATTTCAGTGATTTGTATTCTAATTTTACAAAAGGTCTATGTATACCTGGGTTGACTTTCGGAAGCCGAATTAATGTTTGTTTTGCCAAAACAACAGAAACAAATAGTAATAAGATGGTAAGTTTCGCACTCATGTTTGACTGAGTTTAAGTACGGAACTCAATGAGTTAAATTGAAGACATATTTATAAATTAAATTTTAATCTCATAATTACGTTTTAAAGATATTATTTACTACTTTGATAAGGAAGGTATATGCTGATATTTGTTTATTGTTTAATTTTCCACGTTAATGGTTATCCATCATATTATTATGATTAAAAAACTAACAATAATGTAGAGATAAGCATCATGATTAGGAGGAAGAGGAATGGAGATATCTTTGAGACTATTATTAAGTTGTAAAAAGTTATTAAGACAGGTAAAGTCACGAAACTACCGTGCATTACAATTTAGACAACAATAAATGTTATTTTTATGGATAGACATTTATTCACTAAAAGTGGTCCCTTTTGGCATTAGCATCTTAAAAGGACGTCACATATTTCGCAGAAAATGAAAAGGCAAATTTTAAATAACTGTTTATGCTTACCATTGAATTTGAAATTTAGAAAAATAGTTCAATAACGTCAACCATGCATGTTTAAAGGAGTTTTAAAACCCTCGGCTTAGGGTAGAGGTAGAATTCAAAAACATCTCGTCTTATTTTTGCGCATCAGCGTCACTTCTTGTTTTGATCTGCTATTGTGGCCCTTGTAAATAGAACGCGTAGATTAAATTTAGTTCATAATGTCATAAAAATGAAATACATTCGACGCCACAGTCCGCCTCAATGACCACAGTTAGTGCAATATCAGTTTATTAGTAAGTTCGTAACCTGACATGTATAAAACTCTGACTATTCCATATAATTTTTGTTTTCATTGTTTGCAAATTCACAATTGTGACAACCCAAACATTCCGCTTTAAATGGATATGTGAAAAAAGTTTGAAAACCCGCGAAAATTTCAAAAATTGAAAAATTTGGCCTTGTGGCGGAATGCGTTCAGATGCAAATGGTGGTCCTCAAGGTTGGAAAAGTACCGCTAAATAAAACACAAAATATATGGAGGACACAAAACGTTTATTCTTCCACTGACAAAAAGTGCTCAGCTACAAAAAAAAACTTGCCTAACTTTGAATGAAATTAAAGTTCTGAATCAATGCAAATATTTGGATATCACAAATCTAATAAAAACAAAGAAAAATCTGAATCAAAGTAACTGGATGCAAATACACAAGTTATTACGGACGTGTGGCGGCAAATTTAACATTATGACAGTCAACACGAGAACAAAATTTTAATAAAAACTTTGCAGCAGTGGCGGCACCAGAACGCTATAAGAGTGTGGTGATTCAACTATATCAATTTCATTCTAGAACACAGCACAATTACCCATAGGGGGCGTAGTAGCACGAGCGGAGTTTGGGGCCCCTGGTTGTGGCTGTGCTCCCACCCACGGCGGTAATTATATTCTATCGGCAAGCACATACCTATCTATCACGAAAGAACGTGCCGCGGTAGGGCTGGAAATCCCGGCTATTGGGACAAGCCGAGAGCGTCACGTCATCCAGACAGCTCCCCTGACTTCTACTCAAGATCTGCGTTTTTTGTGCAGATGGTGCGATAAATTCCGACAGCTCAAGGAACCGCGCACTCCACTTCCGCCACGTGTTTCTGTTCCATTTAAATGTTCAATTTCTATAATTTTGATATTCAACTACTACTGAACAAGTGTTAAAGTTTCAAAAAAACACCAAACAACATGTAAATTCGCCATACACTCTCGTGAAATTTGAAATAGCAAATAAATCTTATCTCAAATTAAGATTGGACGTCCGACAATTTATGATGGAAGCATTAATCAACAAAATATTTACATAGAAAAAACTAGCAAAGTTTTATAAAGCAAAAAAAAAGATCTGGTGTGAAGTAAAACTTGTGCAAACAAAAAAAATACAGTAGGTTAGGAACTGCAGAGCATGAAAATTTACGCACTTTATCAACAAATCAAACAAAGAATTTATATTATGTTAAATTATGCCACACTTTATCAACGATTCAAACAAAGAATTTACATGTTGATAAATGATGCCTTGATCCAAGTGAATGGTTACTTAAAACATTTAGCTTTGAGAGTTTATATCATGGACTGTCTCCAGCTTATCCCAAACAATCACCACTGCAAACACAAAATAAATAAATACAAAACGCATCCTGCGTTGCGAGAAATATGCGTCTCGATGATATAGTTTCCCACGTGGCGAGAATTATGTTTCCATGAGGTGATGATGATGAAATGATGATAACTGCCTAAGGGGAAAAACTTAATTTCCTCGACCCTCAGTCCACGATATTCTAAATTCTACCGCACTTTCACGATCATTTTCCCAGAGTGAGACAACGTTAGATTGATTTAACTGCCGTAGACGAACTATTGACAATCTTGTGTGACGAGTTAAGAAGTGTGATAATGTAACACTCAAGTATAAGCATCCTGAAACCTTATCTTATAACTTGATAAACAAAGGATGAGTCCTGAGTAAATGAATCTCATAAAATTTCCTAGCAAGTGCTTGATCTTAATAATCTTATGACTGTTAAATTGTGTTAGAACTAGTAACGATTAAAACCCTAACATAAACTGTGAATTTACAAACAATAAATCAAATTTACACCACGTGTTGCGTCGGTCGAAAATTCGCATATTTCCGACTAGAAAAAGAGCAATAAATTAGCTACGCTTGTGGCTTCCCCTTTTTTTCTAACTACCAAACCAATTACAGTTAATCTAGCTACTTTACCGCGTGTTTCACTCACACCAAACAAAAAAACAGTGACACGTCATCTCTCTCTACCAAGCTAGCCATCTTCTACCAACCCTCTCACTAGATACTACCCAGAAATTCCCTAGGAGAGCTACCAACTATCAGAAAAGAAACGAAATCCTCAAAAGCATCCTCGGCTTCTAAATCTGCGCATGCGTTAAATATTTATGTGGTAAATTCAAACTTCATTGTATTTCACATTTAAGGGGGAACTACGTAGTACTTAGTACTACTCGGTGAGGGGGAACCTCGTCGGCGGAACCATGGACAGAGATAACTTTGATTACTTGAAGTGTACCCAGAATCGAAGGTTTCATTTCGGTACGAAAATTGAAATGTGAATATTCCAAACCTTGGTATAAATACGAGTGATTTGCAGTGCATACTGTGCATTTTTTTTTTAAGTGACAATAGGAATTCTCATGTTAAATTTTAGACCCCATGTAAACTTTTGTTAGGGTGAAAACACAGAGATGATTTTTGCGGTGAAAATAACTTTAGGGTTCTACTTTAAGTTCCACCACAACTTTTTGCAGAAAATTGTTAATTTATGCTTTAAAAAATAAAAATTATTCCGATAAAAAATTTTGGTACATCATAAAAGGTTTTGACTTGTCATTTTTGACAACACAATTTTAATTTAATCGTTAAATATGTACGGTCGTGGACAGTGAATTTCGTCCACCCAATTTCTTTGACAGAAAAAAACTCTAAATTAGCCCTTAGATCTTTCTAACCTTTTTTTGTCATTTTGACATAAAGGGGCAAACATTTTTTTATACGATAACTAACACTAGTCCGCGATAAGCCCGAAAGTGTAGCGACATCCCATCTTGGAAAAGGGATATTAGTTTACCTTCATTAAAATAACTAATCGATGGCAGGTTCGAAGCTAAATTAAATTTGACAATACTTACGTCAGTCATCATGACCACAGATTAAAGATATTATATTGGTACCACCATGTTTTAATAAAGACATTGCAAATATCTTGTCTTCACGGCTGTATCGTCGTCCTCGTGGTGCTTTGTTCTGCCTCAAAATCTGCGATCTAATAAATCTAAATGTTGCATTATTAATCCTATCACCAAAAACAGCTCCATTTTCAACTTGCTGGATAATGGTCTGCAACTTTTCTTTGTTGCTTTCCACATCTGACTGTAGTTTTTTGGCCACATGTCGGTATTCACTTGCAATTTTGTACAGCTTTGCTGCTTTTGGTGTAAGTTGCGCCCTTTTCCGTAAATTTAATTCCAGTAATAAATTCCTTCGTTTCTTTAGTATCGATTCTCTTGTGCGGACAACGCCTTGTGTGGTTGTTTCAAGCACAGGTGTTTCATCTGATGTGAATAGCAGTGCATTTTCATCAAGAACTGACTGCTGTTGTTCTTGACTCCTGTTTGTAGGTAAAATTACCACATTGACTGCCATGTTCACAGACGGAGTTATTGTTGATGCTGAAAGAAAATAAACTACATAAGTATGGTGTATTGTTGTAGATAGATTTTTTTTATTTGTTACTCCATCGATCCACAACGATTGCGTTACATCTGTTGTTCTTACCTGGTAGTTGTAGATTAGGTATACTGCCCACTTTTAAATTTGTTCGGTTATGACAGGAGACAAATTTGGAATTTTCATCAAAATGAATATCGCATACGCGATAATTCCGCCTTATCCACTGCACGCCTTTTTCAGTAAGGTCGTCTCTTCCAATGGTGCTACACCACACCTTGAAAAGCTGAAATAATATAGGAAAATATTGTTGCATATTATGATTGAATTATAATGGGGCAATATTTTCTTCAATTTACTTATTACTGGTTTGCTTTATGATTTTCTCTCATTAAGTTCGTTGCTATATCAGTAAACTTGATTTATTTTGTAATTAAATTAAACTATTTATTATACTAACCTCCTCATCTTTGGGAAATGAATGCAGTATGGTGTTATTTGGCTTCTTGCAGCTTCTAACACAGCATTGAAACGGCATTATTATTTTACAAAGTGTTCTAAAAGAATTCAAATTCAATCAAAACTTAAACTTAAAACTCTCACAAACACAAAATCGCGATCTGCGCGTAGAGGTACACACGTTGTGAGAGATGACAAGTTCGACGTAGGATTGCCAACTAGTGGAGTGCCAAACGCATTATTCTAAAGATGTAAAAGTTACTAAATTTGTCGATCACAGCGCGAAGGCGACGTTAGGTAGTACTAGATTGCCAATTTTTAGCAAATTAGTGGGAGTGCGCTCCCCCTGATCATGACAATAAAGCAAAGACTACAGTGAATTTTTGTGAATTCCCGTGAATTGTATGAACGAAATTCACTGTCCGCAACTGTACGTACCTTTATTGCTGTTTCTAGAAAAGAAACAGAATGATGGAATTCCATTATATACGAAGAAAGTAAAAGATAATTTTACAAAATTGGGTTTTTGATGTCCAGTATCGAGACATTTTTAAATCTGATTTTCAGATTTTTAAATCTCCCATAAAATTTTGAAATTGTTCTGTTTGGTGTTTCACTTTATTATGAATTTTATTAATACATTATAATAAACAAAGGATTTTAATATTGGTAAAGTGTGTAAGACAGGAAATAAATTTTTAAATAATTAAGTATAATAAAACAAATTGATTTCATGAAAAGCACAACTGTTTGTGTTTTTTAATCAATGAATCAATGAATGTATATGAAAATAATTAATACTTATATAATAGGTGCTCTTGCATTGTACTACTTCTTTTTAAAGTTTATAAAACTAAAAAAAAGCCTTAATAATTCCGATCGTCGCATTACTGGTTGCATATATTTAATAAAATGTGACGCATGCGCAGATTTAGGAGCCGAGGCTGCCAGAAAGGTAAAATATAAAAGTTATAATATTTTCTGATAAGTCTGTATTGTGATAACCCAACTTCCCGCCTTAAAAATTGACCTTGAAACAGTTTGAAAGGCCCGCGAAAAATTCAAAATTCAAAGTTTGGCCTTGGCTGTGATCGTCTAACAAATGAGAACCTACGTTGTGTTTTTTTTTTTGCTTTTGAAAAATGGCGGGAAGAAGTTCTTTCATACAAGTGCATACACTGTCGAGAGCGCAAGAAATAATTAACAGAAATTGTTTTGGAGGGGGGGAAACGGCACCACCCTCACAGGGGGAAATACGCTGCGAAGATTTACCCCTCAGCGCAAAAACCCCCTTGGTTTTATTCCCGGACGACATTTTATTACATTTCAAAACCCTTAAGATATGTGAAAGAAAAACACTCGCGAATTGACAGACCTACACATATGAAAACCGAACAAACACAAGACCTACACATATGTAAATTGGATGGCAGAAACCGAATCATTATGAGAGTGTGGCGATCGAACAAACATAGAACAAAATATAACAATTTCATTTATGAGCACAGCAAAATACCCAGAGGGGGTGTCGTAGCGTGAGCGAAGTTTGGAGCTCCCGGTCTGGGCTGGTTTCCCTCGCGACGGTGATTCTATCTACACCAAGCCTGCCAGACAGCACCCCTCCATGACGAACATGCCGTCCAAGCAGGCCGTTTCGGCCTAAAACTAGCGGTGAAGTCTGGTCAACTACTACCTCGTCGTCAAGACCGTTCCCACTGAAATCTAGTTCAAAGCCTGCACGTCTTGTGCAGACAGCGCGGTACATTCCGCTACCGCAACTAGGAACTGCGCCCATCGCCGACACTACATGTTATTGTGTTATATACCTTCAATTCTATTTAAATGTTCAATCTCTATGATTCTAATATGAAATGACAACCGAACAAGCGTTAAAGTTTCAACAAAGAGCAATACACAACATTTAAATTCGCCACACACTCTTACGAAAATTCAACAACAAATAATTCTTAATTGAGATTAAATTTGGACATCAGGTAATTTATATGAGAGAGACATTCATCAACAAAACATTTACATGATCAAAACTTAGCAAAGATTTATAAAACAAAGATCTGGTGTGAAATAAACTTGTGCAAATAAAATATTATGTTAGGTCAAAACTGTAGAGCATGGAATGTACATTCAATTCAAATTATACAACAAAGAAAATTACTGAAGCTAAAATTGTGAGACAAAGACAAATTGCATGAGGTGAAAGATTGTAAAGTTAACAGATTTACATGTGATTAATATTAATTCGTGTCCAGTCAGTTATTGGTTAAAATTCAAACGTGAAATTATTTAGCTGCATTGTGGGCCATTATTACACATACATTTCCCCAAACAAAACACATAAACAAACATGGCAGACAAGCTGCAGTTGCAAAATGGCGTTGGACGAATTCGTCATTCCAAATAATAGGCGTCGAAAATATGCGATGCAAAATACGATGAATCCTGTGGCGTTGTATAAACGATGGGCTAAATAAAAGGAATAGAAGGCACGTCCCCCCATGACCCACAATGTTTGTTAATTTGTTCAATAGATTCAGTTAAAACATGTGCTCGTTTAAAAGAAACAAAATGGACGCTTCAAAATGGCCGCTGCCTGAACAAAGAACGGTGAAAATAACAACTCGTTTGCCGCCATCCAAAATACAGATTTCACAAATATAGCTAAATAAAGCATGGCCCGAACTAAAAATCACTTCCTGTAAAGCCCTACTGCGATGGATTTTAAATGAAAGATAAAAAAAACGAGATTAGTGGAAAAACAAGCGCACGCGTCGCTGCGTCACGAGGTCAGAAGTATCGTCGGGGCTTGAAACTCGCCGCAAAACAGGTGTTCAAAACATACCTCTCCAAAGATGAGAAGATTTCGACACGGCTTACCGCCAAAAGGAACGCAAAAACCTCGTCGTAAGAACGATGAGAAATCAGGAACACCCAATGGCTCAACGGTGGCTGCTAGGTTTTCCAATGGAACGGATCAACACTGGAAACGCAAAAACAACAGCAAAAGGCACAGAATAATTCACAATTAAAAATACAACCTGTTGCTCGAAGCGCTCGAAAAGAAGTGGTCTGTTCTCTCCAAGCGATCAAAAGGAAGTGACTCATTTTTCAAGACAATACCACCTTCGCTTTGCGCACGTCTGTTTCTTTGGGGTGGTTGGTTGCCAACCTCTCCTTCTTCTCACTAACCGTTTCTTGTGCGCGCGGAATTCGTTTGAAATTTAAAAATTCGAATTGGATCCTTACAGTCGTCCCCCAGCGTTTTCGGAGCGAAGCTACGCGTAGCGACTGGAAACGCTAACCTAAAGGAAGGCCAATCGAATTTTTTTTCTTTCTTCTGGACACGTCCCCCCGATTCCAAGTGTACCAAGACACGTTTGCCTCACCAACGTGTCCTCCGGGCGTTTCCCGAAGTGTTGGGCGGAGGAAGCGAAAAGGGGTTAAAGGGTGCCTGAGCAGGCAACGCGGGGACAGGAGCATGTGACCTGGAATCGTCACGACGCCTGCGTCGTGGTGACCGGCGCTCACGCCTTCGATGGGGCGACCCTCTGTCAGAGTCCCTGTGTTCTCGACCGGACCCACGTCCAAGGAGGAACTCCTGAGCCCTGGCAAAACTCTTTTCCCTCGATGGAATGGTGCTCCACGCGCTCCAGACGTCGTCCGGGAACACCCTCATGACGCTGTCTATGGTGTCGAGCTCGCTGTCTGGTAACATCAGCGACTTCAGGAGGCCGTACTTGTTGATGAAATAGTCCACCATGAGTCCGTCTCGGTGGGGGTCAAAACGTCCTCGCCGGACCTCCTCAGCCACGGCCCTGCGTTGGTGTGCGGGCCAATACAACTCCACGAAGTCGTGGCGGAAGTCTTCGTAGGTGCTCCAGCTGTCTTGGCTGGCCGTCGCCCATGTCCTCGCGTCTCCCTTGAGGCACTTCAACACCTCTCCCAGCTTGTTGGAGGAGGGCGTGTGCGTCTCGGCGCAGTAATCCTCGAATTCCCGCAAGAACTCCAGCGTCTCCTTTCGCGTGCCTGAAAAGGAAGGGCGGGGCAAAGATGTCGTCGCCAATCGTCGCTCGAGGTCCAAAGCGTATCGCCTCCAGCCCCTGTCGTGGGACCTGGATCGGCTTCGCTCGTAGGACCGGTGGCGTCGTTCTTCTGGGGTCCTCTCGCGTCGCTCTTGGCGTCTGCCGCGTTCCTGGCTAGGGCTCCTCGAACGTCCTTCGGAGGAACGTTCCGGTTCCCTGCTAGGACTTCTTCGGCTACCCTTGGAGGTCGTGGCTTGCGTGTGATCTGTCCACACGTCCGTGATCCGGAAGTCGGGGTCGTCACGGTTATCGCTGCTGCGTTCCCGTCTTTCGGCCATTTCTTCAGCTGGTCACTTTGCCTGTTCTAAATCAAAACACATGAGAATTTATGCAACATTAAATGCGCTCCTCTAACACAGTATGCAACATTGTATGCTGGTCACGCGGCAACAAATTCTGTGATAACCCAACTTCCCGCCTTAAAAATTGACCTTGAAACAGTTTGAAAGGCCCGCGAAAAATTCAAAATTCAAAGTTTGGCCTTGGCTGTGATCGTCTAACAAATGAGAACCTACGTTGTGTTTTTTTTTTTTGCTTTTGAAAAATGGCGGGAAGAAGTTCTTTCATACAAGTGCATACACTGTCGAGAGCGCAAGAAATAATTAACAGAAATTGTTTTGGAGGGGGGGAAACGGCACCACCCTCACAGGGGGAAATACGCTGCGAAGATTTACCCCTCAGCGCAAAAACCCCCTTGGTTTTATTCCCGGACGACATTTTATTACATTTCAAAACCCTTAAGATATGTGAAAGAAAAACACTCGCGAATTGACAGACCTACACATATGAAAACCGAACAAACACAAGACCTACACATATGTAAATTGGATGGCAGAAACCGAATCATTATGAGAGTGTGGCGATCGAACAAACATAGAACAAAATATAACAATTTCATTTATGAGCACAGCAAAATACCCAGAGGGGGTGTCGTAGCGTGAGCGAAGTTTGGAGCTCCCGGTCTGGGCTGGTTTCCCTCGCGACGGTGATTCTATCTACACCAAGCCTGACAGACAGCACCCCTCCATGACGAACATGCCGTCCAAGCAGGCCGTTTCGGCCTAAAACTAGCGGTGAAGTCTGGTCAACTACTACCTCGTCGTCAAGACCGTTCCCACTGAAATCTAGTTCAAAGCCTGCACGTCTTGTGCAGACAGCGCGGTACATTCCGCTACCGCAACTAGGAACTGCGCCCATCGCCGACACTACATGTTATTGTGTTATATACCTTCAATTCTATTTAAATGTTCAATCTCTATGATTCTAATATGAAATGACAACCGAACAAGCGTTAAAGTTTCAACAAAGAGCAATACACAACATTTAAATTCGCCACACACTCTTACGAAAATTCAACAACAAATAATTCTTAATTGAGATTAAATTTGGACATCAGGTAATTTATATGAGAGAGACATTCATCAACAAAACATTTACATGATCAAAACTTAGCAAAGATTTATAAAACAAAGATCTGGTGTGAAATAAACTTGTGCAAATAAAATATTATGTTAGGTCAAAACTGTAGAGCATGGAATGTACATTCAATTCAAATTATACAACAAAGAAAATTACTGAAGCTAAAATTGTGAGACAAAGACAAATTGCATGAGGTGAAAGATTGTAAAGTTAACAGATTTACATGTGATTAATATTAATTCGTGTCCAGTCAGTTATTGGTTAAAATTCAAACGTGAAATTATTTAGCTGCATTGTGGGCCATTATTACACATACATTTCCCCAAACAAAACACATAAACAAACATGGCAGACAAGCTGCAGTTGCAAAATGGCGTTGGACGAATTCGTCATTCCAAATAATAGGCGTCGAAAATATGCGATGCAAAATACGATGAATCCTGTGGCGTTGTATAAACGATGGGCTAAATAAAAGGAATAGAAGGCACGTCCCCCCATGACCCACAATGTTTGTTAATTTGTTCAATAGATTCAGTTAAAACATGTGCTCGTTTAAAAGAAACAAAATGGACGCTTCAAAATGGCCGCTGCCTGAACAAAGAACGGTGAAAATAACAACTCGTTTGCCGCCATCCAAAATACAGATTTCACAAATATAGCTAAATAAAGCATGGCCCGAACTAAAAATCACTTCCTGTAAAGCCCTACTGCGATGGATTTTAAATGAAAGATAAAAAAAACGAGATTAGTGGAAAAACAAGCGCACGCGTCGCTGCGTCACGAGGTCAGAAGTATCGTCGGGGCTTGAAACTCGCCGCAAAACAGGTGTTCAAAACATACCTCTCCAAAGATGAGAAGATTTCGACACGGCTTACCGCCAAAAGGAACGCAAAAACCTCGTCGTAAGAACGATGAGAAATCAGGAACACCCAATGGCTCAACGGTGGCTGCTAGGTTTTCCAATGGAACGGATCAACACTGGAAACGCAAAAACAACAGCAAAAGGCACAGAATAATTCACAATTAAAAATACAACCTGTTGCTCGAAGCGCTCGAAAAGAAGTGGTCTGTTCTCTCCAAGCGATCAAAAGGAAGTGACTCATTTTTCAAGACAATACCACCTTCGCTTTGCGCACGTCTGTTTCTTTGGGGTGGTTGGTTGCCAACCTCTCCTTCTTCTCACTAACCGTTTCTTGTGCGCGCGGAATTCGTTTGAAATTTAAAAATTCGAATTGGATCCTTACAGTATTCTATAAATATAGTGCAATTTATTACGTGAGAAATATGCTTTAGTATTAAGTTTATACAAGGGCGTTGTATAAGGTCCTTGATTTTATATTATTATTATTATTATTATTGAAAACAAACATATCTATAACATCCTACTTTAAAATGGCAATGGGTATAGGTTTCGTAGACAAAAATATTATTGTTATTTATGCAAACTCCTAAGTTCCAGGAAGTGGTAACAGTTAATTGCTAGTGCTAGGACAATGCGGATCAATAACTTTCATCAGGCACTAGTTTGCTGTCACGTCAAAAATTTGAATGTAGCCGAAGCTTTATTGTCATTAAACAAGACAACACGACATTTAAAAAATAGTATGACAGACGCGTAGATATTTAGTAAAAATGACAGTTATAAAAAATGAGGTTATTAACTAATGACTGTGAAATGTTACTAGTGCCCGAAATTTATTGGGTGGTACTGTACAATAATATATTTTGAGACGAGCAACTTATTGGAGGAAATAAAAGAGACACATTTTGTTGAATTTCCCCATCTCATCACAATGATTTTAAGTGTATCCTGAAAATATCAAAATTATCGGTTCGGTAGTTTTTCAGATTATCTGAATGAAATCAGGCGTTATACGTCAGAATAATTATAACACATATTTTTTGATAAGTAACATTCAAACTGCTACATATTTTCTTGCCTATGGAAACAGTTTACACTAAAAACAACATAGTCGTTTGATACTTTTATTAGCCCCACTGGATGCTTATTTTGAAAAATTCAAAATAAAAACACCCAAAGGACATGTTTGTCATATAAATACAGCTTAATTTTATTATCAGTCTGATATCAACACCAAGAGATTTTTATACATATACTGAAAGTATTTCACAACATGAATCCACTTATTTTTGTTCCAAATTTTATTATGAGTTTGATCAATCTGAATGCCGGGTAATTACGTGACGTTTCAAGGTACATCTCTGTTTAGCTTTATATAGACATTTTTCACACTTATACCATCTAATATCCTCTTCATTCAAGTGTTGTGCAGTTACGTGACTATTTAAATGCGACTTTTGTTTAGCTTTGTATGGACACTTTTTGCATTCATACCATTTAATATCTCCTTCATCTAGGTGTCGCGTATTGATGTGTCTGTTCAAATTTGATTTGTCCTTAGCTTTATATGTACACTTTTTGCAATGATACCACTTAACGTTTGTTTCATCCAAATGACGCGTTTTTATATGTCTGTTAAACGTTGATTTATCTTTAGCTTTGTATGTACAGTTTTCACATTTGTACCACTTGATATTTTGTTCATCCAAATGACGCGAAATAATGTGAATTTGTAAATTAGTATAAAACTTGCTTTTGTATGGACAACTCTGACACTCATACCAATGTATTTCATCGTCATTTAAGTGTTTTGAAATTTTGTGTCGCATTAAAGTAGTTCGATATTTGGCTTTAAATTCACAGTAATCACATTTAATCCATTTAATATCTTGTTCACTCAAATGTTGGGCTAATACGTGTGTTTTTAACCTTTGTTTTAGTTTAGTTTTATATGGACACTTCTCACACTGGTACCAACATACCTCATCATCTTTCAAATGTTTTAAAATTTTGTGTCTCTTTAAGTTAGATTTACACTTTGATTTAAAATTACACTGATCACAATCATACCATATGAAAACATTCTTTATGATATTCAAGTGTTTTACATTTTTGTGGTGCTTTAAGCTAGATCTGTACTTGGTTTTGAACTCACAATGATCACAGTTATACCATCTCACATTTTTTTCGGTTGTTACTTTGGGATTTTCTGTATTCCGCCAACATGCTGCAATATGCTGAAGCCATTTTATCGAGAAATGTGTTTCAAAGCTGCATTGATCACAAACATAGCTGTTGATGGTAAATTCTTTATTTAATAAGTCTTCTTGGTATTCCCTACTATGTTTCAGAACATGTTGTTTCAAAAAAATTGATAATTCTGTTTGGAATCCACAGTCCTTGCAGTAATATTTTTCGATGTCACTATTTTCGCAGTTGAAATGTATGATTGATAAGCGGTGTCGTCTGACGTGGTGTACCATAAGAACACTCGATGGTGTGTGGTATGGGCACATTTTACAATGATGGTCATTTTCGGGGGTGGTTTTCACTTGAGCAAAAGTATCAGAACATTCTAAAATTGACATCTTCGTTTACCTAAATTCATTTTAGTGTTAAATTATTACAAGGGTGAGTTAGTGTTTTTCTTACCAAATACTTCGTTGTAAACAACGACGCTTCGTCAACACATTTTGTCTCCAAGTATTTTAACAGTTTTCATTCAAAATCGATGTTTTGGTTGGTTTAAATAGTTCATTTGTTATTAATAAATATGAAAATGGTCCGAAATGTAAACATGTTGGGGAAAAACAGACATAACCTAAGAAAATTCCTTGTGTCCTTGTTTTTCTTTTATTTGTGTTTATATGCAATACATAATACACTTCTGTATTCTAGCTGTGTAGCTGTGTTTAAGAGGAAGAACACAGGCGAGGAATGACAGACAGGGTCAGGTACATTAAACAAACAATCCGTAGTTGAAATGCCAGCTGCGATTTAGGTAAAAATGTCAAATCTGCTCTGGTGACTTTTATATAAAAGTCCCTATATCCATTTGTGAAGAAACTATTTTAGTTATAGCCAAAATGTTATTTTTTATACTCTAAAATTTTATTGTCTGGTTCAGTTATAAACACGGTAATAAAATTATCATTTTGAGAAAAATATTTCACATTTACCCTGTTAGGGTAAATGACATGAGGGAAAAACAGTCAATTTTAACAAGAAACCATGTGTTCTGCTTCCGCTTTAAAATTGAAATTCTATATTTCTCGAACTTAGAACGATAACAACATTTAATTATGCCACATTCTATACAGAATTTTAAACAATAAAGAATTTAAATGATGTTAAATTACGTACCTACCAATTAAGATACTGATTAAGTGATTAAATCAAAATGATTATATCGTGGACCGAATTGCTCAGCTACGTCGACACCAAATGTTCAAATTCAAACTGTAAGGGATTATTAAACTTGTAAGAAAATATTAATGATGATAACTTTCGAGTCCTATCTCTCAAAATGGATCAATCTTTAAGACTAGTTTAAATGTCATAAACAAACTATTTTAAATCTCAAGAAGTTTATGAAGTGTGAATATTATAGCCTAAGTAAAAGCGTCCAGAACTTTAGAGATCATTACTAAAACGACTAAGTGAAAGTAAGTGTTGGTGGAATAGTTAAAATTTCACAATAGTTTAGATTAAAAATCGTCAGTTAACTTATATTATACTAATTACACTTGTTACGGGAGACCGTGGCGTCGAATACAGTTTCATTTTGTTTAAATAATTCCCTTTTAGTGAAATTACAAACCGTATTAACACATGTTTACACTCTCAACACCAACATAAGAAGTAAATTCAAGAGATCTTTTTCAAAACTACCAGCCCATTGGAGCAAAATTATAATTTTTTTAAATTGGGACACCACAGGATTAGTCATCGTATTAGTAATAGTTAACAGTCATCACAAAGGGTTTGCGATTCTTAAATTCAATAAATATCGAAGACTCTAAGGGCCGGTTGCATAAACGCAAATCAAATTTAATCTCTGATTAACTCCATAGTAACGATTGTTATTATCATAGTTACAATTGTTCTTAATCAGAGATTGAATTTGATTTGCGTTTATGCAACCGGCCCTAAGTTATTTGACTGACTTCTAGTACACTTAGAGTCGTTTAGGGTTTTAATTTGTTTGTGATATTTTTATGTTTAATTTATCATATCGATACGTACGATATAAATTTTAAGTAAGATTTATTGAACAATATTTTAAGATTTAACAGTGTGGTGACCGAATTTGAATCAAATTTTCGCGCTGAATTTAATTAACAGTGGGGCGAAATCACATTGGAATAATTTGAATTTGAAAGAAAAAATTCAATCAAAAAAATCGTTAAACATAGGCAACCAGGTGCACGGTAACGCTTGTTGGATAGTTGGACAGTTAGTAGCGCCAGGGGATTTTAGTTAGAGGGTTGGTTGGTAGACAGAGGGCAGCATGTTGAAAGCGTGAGTCATTATGTTTCGGTTTGGTGTAGTGGATGCATGGTGAAAGGAAGCTGTAAGTAGCTAGGTTTAAATTAGTTGATTTCGTAGTTAATAAAAAAAGCTTTTGTTTAACCACAATCAATCGTAACCGACGGCGCCCAGTTTAGCCAATCCGCGCGGCTAATTCTTGCGGCTTTTTAATCGGAAAAGTGTTAATTTTCGGGAACAACGCGGGTCACGTGGCGTAAATTAGTTTTATTATTGTAAATTCACAGCTCAGGCTAGGAGTTAACCGTCAGAGTGCTAACAAAATTTAACAATCAGGATTATTTAAATAAACTACCTACTTACAAGGAGATTTCATGAAATTCATTTAGTCAGGATAATAATTCTTTGTTTAACAAATTATAAATAAGTTTCTGGATGCATATGCGTAAGTCTTACATGATAACACTTCTTAATTCTTCACACAAGATGGCTAATAGTTCATTTACGGCAGTTAAATTTACAAAATTTATTATACCGCGAACTGACGAGGGGTTAAAATAATTTCTTCCCTTAGGCGATTATTATCGTTATTATCATCGTTATCATGATTACATCACCGGAGCATGTCCTCGCAACGTTAAAGATTGATTACATCACTGAGGCATGTCCTCGCGTTAAAGATTGATGATTGATTACACCACCGAGGCTTATTCCTCGCAACGATAAAATTTACATCACCGAGACGCTTTTTCCTCGCAACGATGACTGGATATGTTTGTGTTTATTTATTATGTGATTTGTTGGGGTAACCAATTCGCGGTATGCTAAACTCTCAAAGTAATTTTTTGTTAAGTAACCAATCACTTATATCATGATATAATTTGACATAATGTAAACTCTTTGTTTTAATCGTTGATAAAGTGTAACAAATATTAATCTCATGTAAATTTTGTTAATTTTGCAATTTTTCACCTCATACAATATTTCTCTAATCTCACAGTTTTAACTTCAGTAATTTTCCTTTGTTGTATAATTTTCATTGGACGTAAATTTCATGCTCTGCGTGTTTTAACCTCACATAATTTTTATTTACACAAGTTTATTTCACACCAGATCTTCTGTTTTTCATAAATCTTTACTAGTTTTGTTTTGTAAATATTTTGTTGATGAATGTGTACATCGTATAAATTATTTGATGTCCAATTTTAATCCCACATAAGAATTATTTGTTGTTTAAAATTTCATAAGATTGTATGGCGAATTTAAATGTTGTTTATTACTCGTTTGAAACTTTATCACTTGTTCAGTTGTTATTAATATTAGAGTCATAAGAAATTGAACATTTAAAATGGAATTGAGGTTAAATAACACAGAAAATGTGGTAGAAGCGAAGTGCGGTTCCTAGTCGAGCTGGCGAGATTCATCGCGTCACCTGCACAAAGGGTACAGGTTTGGATAAATTCAGGGGCGGTTGCCGATGTTGTAACGCTCTCGGCTTCTGTCCTTAGCCGAGATCACGGTGTATAATAAGTTAGGTGTTACGACGAAGCGTATTCACCGTGCATCGACTTGACGCCGGTTTAGTCACGATGAGCGGTCGAGAGAGACAGACAGCGGCGGCCTGTAACCTCTCACTTAGATCTGTTTAGCAGCGTTTGGCGGGCTTTTTCCCTCTCTAGGTGTGACAGATTTTGCTAGGTTTTCTCTGCGATTTCTTACTTGTTTTTTGATTTATCAATAAAAATGGGTAGAAAATGTGTTGTGCCTAATTGTTCTAGCGGATACAATGGTAATCCCGAAAAAGTGTCGGTGTTTCGGGTACCTAAAGACAGATTACTGGAATGACACTTTTATTGCAGTAGTGAACTGCTGCTTTTGAACAACACTTTGCACTAAAAAATACTGGTCGTCGCTATAATAATAGTAGGCATTTTATGTTGAATTTTATTTTTACTTGAAACAATTACTCCCTTTTTATCGGTTATGTGTTATGTTTTAACATTCAAGAAACAGAATTTATGTTTATTTTCAGAGGGTTTTTGAAGGCGATATGTATTTTTTTTTATTCCACATAAACTATACTTTTTGCAGAGATTTTTCGGCACAATTCGACAAGCAGGTTGTGCCAATGGACATCCCTTATCTATAACTCTTTGCAGCTATACCGAATGTTATCGGTTTATAAATTATTAAAACCTCCGAAATTTGGTAATTGCACACAGAGGCAGGAAAATAGTAATGCAAATCATTCGTTATCATTTAATGACTCCAAAAATATTTTTGAAACAAATACCAGAATGCGGGAAAAATCATCTTGAGAAAATAAAAAGGAAAATTGAATATATTTTAGATACAGATTCACCGATTAACGAAATAGACGAACAACTATTTGAAGATGCACTACAACTAAAATTGTTGACAACATCATTTATTACTTGGCTGGATTTGTCGCAAAAAAAAATTGAACAATACTTCAAAATGTAATATTTGCCGTGAACAGTTATATAACAAAGAAGATCCATGTTCTAGTAGGTACATCTGAATTTACTAGTACAAAATCCAGGGGGTGGTTAAACCATCCAGATTTGTTAATGTTTAATATGTTCCGATGGGTGGAAGGGATACTTATGAAATATATCGATTTATCGATGTATTCGATGCAACAATTGAAGAGCTATTCGCAACAAAAATTTTTATGACTATTTACTTTCCTTTTTCTTGTGAAGAGCATAGAATGGAAATATTTTCAAAGGCAATATAACACAATTATGCAAATTAAACAATTTTATAAACAGCAACAAGAGAAAACAACCAAGGCATGTGCAGAAAAAAGGAAAGACTCTCGATTACAGACTACGTAATAATGGTAAATTTTTATTTCTGAAACAGTAAAGCAGATCATGGTTAATGGATATTTTTTAGTTGTCTTGTGAAACGAACAGAAGTGAGTGAAACTAATATAATATGTGAAGGCGAAAAGAACTATCTTTAACAACGAGTTTACATTCATCTTTTTAAATAAATTATTATTTTAAAAATGTTTAAAGTTTTGATTTTAATACAACGGATAATTAATTTTGATCATTTTTGAACCTAAACGGCTTTAATTCCGACAAATACTTCTCCCGTCTCTTTCCCGTCAGTGCGATTAAATGATGGCCGCCCTCTTCTGTTTCTCTCACTCCAAATCTGTGACTAGTTGGGGACACGTTTCACGCGCTCGTCGGAACACCTAACTTATTATACACCGTGGCCGAGATCCAACTGCGGATCTGCGATCGTAACGGGCTAGTTTCGGACGGCATGTTCGTCATGGAGATGTGTGATGTGCTGTGTGGGTAGGCTTTGCGATAGATAGAATCACCGTCGAGGGGGGAGAACAGCCCCGACCGGTAGCCCCAAACTCCGCTTGTGCTAGAACGCCTCAGGGATACTTTGATTGTGTTCCTGTTAACTGCTGTAACTTTAAAATTTGACGCCACACGCCTACAATAACTTGTGTATTTGCATCCAGTTACTTTAATTCAAATTTTGCTTTGTTTTTATTAAATTTGTGATATTCAAATATTTGCATTAATTCGAAACAGATGTATAGAATTTTGTGTTTGTTCGTTTTTTACATGTGTACGCCTGTCACTTCGCGAGTGTGTTTTCTTTTATATTTGGTGTTTCATTTGAAATGTAATATGTCGGTGAATATACGATAGGGGGTTTTAGGGGCTGAGGAGTGAATGCTCGCAGCTCTTTTCCTCCTAGAGAGGAGGTGCGAATTTTAGCCCCCTCCCAAAAATGTTGTCCATTATTTCTTGGGGTCTCGAATCACACGCAGTGTATGCGGACTTGTATGAAAGAACGTCTTCCCGCCACTTTTCAAAAAAAAAAAACACAACGTAGGTTTCCTTTTGTTAAACGATCACGGCTAAGGCCAAATTTTGATTTTTTGAATTTTTCGCGGGCCTTTCAAACTTTTTCAAGGCAATTTAAGGCGGGAAGTTTGGGTTATCACAGTGTTTGTTTATTCATCGGAAGAATGTCACGTAGAAATTAATTTGATTTGAATGAGTTTATTGCCTCAAACCAGAGAATTAAAATTATTAAGTAAGCTGCAATCGAGTTGATCAGAAACCCATCACCAAAGCCAAATTTGAAAATCTATTAATTCTGTTGAAATGGGTGCCCGAAGAGTATCGAGACTATTTTCGATACTTACCCCACTCAGACCAGACAAATGATTTGTTAGATTAAGAAGTTTAGCTTTTTTTTTTGTTTTGACATTTTTGTTAAGTTGTAACAGAAATGTACCTAATTATAAATATGTTTTAATTTTGTATTACGATAATAATAAAAATAATATTGGACTTACGTTGTTTTAATTTTAAAACATATCAGCTATGTATATAAAACTTTTAATGTATAACAGTATCAAGTCCAATATAAATTATCTAAAACCATTTATTAATTTGTCATAATGCAAATTAAAAAAAGAAATGTATAAATGATTAAATAAAAACAAAAACAAAAGAATATTAAAAATTTAAAATCATTTTATCTCACTTTATTTGTAAAAAAATCTCTTTAATAGTTTGTTTCTGGGAAGCTATGATTTTGGACTTACTGACTTTTTGCTCTCAGGTACAGAATTAAACGATGCAGATTCCATCAAAAATAATACCCGTTAATCACCCTATAATGCCCTAGGACATTATCAGGTTGTTAATAGCAACTATTTTCAAGGGCATTATAAGTCTATAATTGATAGGTGAAAAATAAACAAAATAATATCCACATTGTTGAGGTCACAACTATAGCACTTTCAAATAAAAACGATCCAGCGTTATTTGTCAAATTACTATCTTCATGACCGTGGTATATGTTATTACATTAGGCAAAAAATGTCAAGAGTCAAATTCTCCATCAATGTCAAAATAACATCTTCTTGGTAAATAATAATTTCTATTATTATCTCTAAACAACTCACTTTCGGGATGTACGTAAGTACGTTCTTCTTCTTCTTTAATTAATACTACTGTGATCTGCTTGCATTCGTTCGAAGATTTTTTTTTACCAGATTCATATACTCAGATTTGCATTACTTTTATGTGATTATTGTCATCAAAAATATAAAATATAGTAAACCTCATTCGCACATTTATTTAATTATTTTTATTTTTTTGTGTTAATAAATCTTCAACACAATTTTCACAATGTTCAACTTATTATAGTGTATTAATAGTTGTTATAACTCTTTGGACTTTCTCTTAGTTGAGCATTTACAGTACATAGGCAAATTTATGGCCAAACAATATCCTCAATCCACTTTAAGTAATATGATATTCTCGTGTACACCCCCGGACTGCCAAAACAACCTTTACCGAATGATATTACACCGATAATGTCGTACATACATTTAATGTCGTCATGGATGTGATATATTTGCAAGGGTCCTCCGGAATCTCCCTGTAACATAATATACAATCAACCACAGTCGTACAAACTGTGTCATATTATTAAGTTTTGCGTTCATTGTGCACTAATTAAATTCGAAAATTTAGTTTAATCATCAAATTCTGAGTATAACCTACACATTAAGATGATATTTGTAATTAGTGTACTTTCATCACCACTTGCAACAAATAATTGTAATACCTGGCAGGTGTCATTTCCTAGTTGGGACCCAGCACAGAACTGGCTCTTGGATAAAATCCCTTTTCTTAATTTTCTCCCAGTACGTCTATAAATATGAGTGCAGGTGTTATGATCAGTGAGTTCTAAAGTTACTTTAAGCAGATCATTATTGGGTGTTCTACTAAACTCCGTTTGACCCCAACCGGTTGCTATAGCTTTTTCGGCTGTAATCTCTTCTTTTGAGTATAGGCATGCTGGTCGTGAGAAGGAATTTAATTCAGCTAACTTTTTCAATTTTAGTAATCCAATGTCATAGTAATGAGACGCTGACTTATACTTAGGATGTGGTATTAATTCGGCTACTTCTATATGTTGTCTTTTTCTATGAGTGCTGTTTAATCTGGTAACGCCAAGTTTTACCCATTTAGCGTCTCCCCTGTAAAATTCAAAATCATTTTATTTACTTTCATTGTCCGTAAATAGTAATAAAAAATCAAATTTCAGTCGTAAACAATAGATACAACATCGAAAATTAGATTAAAAACTACTACCATACTACTAGAAGATAGTATAGAAAGTGAGTAAAGTATGAAACTAAAAATTTCCATGTCATTACTTAAAATAAGTAGTTAACTTACCATTGTCTATGACTTAAGCAATGCGCAGCTGTCAATATGTACTCGTCGCTCAATATTGTTCCACCACAATACCATCCCGCATCTTTAAAGCTAGATCCATAGCCAATAGCAGCCTACAAGTATTTTACAGAAACTGATTTGCGTTAAATTGTAAACTTCCATTAAAACAAAACCAAAAAATGAAAGATTAGAATTTTTAATAACAAATTATACAAAAATAAGTTAATTGCTAAAAATTAACTATGAAAACCATGTGGCGGCACAATACCACGTCGGTAAGCGGAGAAAAGATAAGTCGTCTCGTGGTCTAGTGGTCTGGATGCTTGCCCAGAATGCAAGAGGCGTGGGTTCAATTCCCACCGAGGTAACAACCCTAGATACCTAGGTCTTGGCATAGCAACAGAAACGTGCGTGTGAGAGGCGCTCCGCTTGGAAAAGCAGAATTGCACGTTTGTTGACAACAAGAATATTGTCGGTTTGGTGTATGAACAATAGTTGAGCCGAGGTGTGATAATAGTGTGGCACACTCGGGCAGTTGCAGAGTTTGAAGCAAAAACGAGGTAAGAAGTGCACGAAAAGAAACAAGAGACGTTGTGTTGTCGCCGGAGAAGGTCATCCTCTCCGACAAGTCGATTGGGAGGACGACCTTATCGCCGGCACTGAAGATAAGATACACTGTTACGACAGGGACGGCTTAAGGAAATTCAGATAGGCACAAGTAAATGTCCATATACAGTAAATTATTATCAAATGACAGAGGAAGGAAAGTACAGGAAAGAAAGTAGAAGCCGTAAAAGGAGCCAACCAGACCACGATACGTCACTGGAAGATAAAGCTTTCCAAAAAAGTAAGGTAACAAGCAGGTCACCAACAAAAATCACCCCACTCAAAAAGCAAGAAATGGAAGACATAAAAAAGTTGTTAGCGGAAATGAAGAGAGACCTAAAAAAGGAGATGGAAGAAAATAAGAAAGAAATAAGGGATGGTATTTATGATTTAAAGAAAGACTTAACAGATCTAAGAACAGAAACCCGAGAAAACAAGGAAGAAATACAAAACCTGAGACAAGAAATAGAGAAGAAGGAAGAAAGTTGGATAAAGGAGAAAAACGAATTAAGGGACAAACTAGCTGAAATGGAAGAAAGACTGGAAACCTTAGAAAGAGACAAAAGAAGGAATAATCTAGTAATAACTGGAATAAAAATAAATACAGATAATGAAGAAATATTAAAAGAAGCAATACAAAATATGATTGAAAAGGAAATCGGACTACAAATAGAGGTGACAAAGGCATATAAAGTAGGCGAAAAGATATGCATTATTGAAACAAAAAACTGGAATGACAAAATGGAAATTCTAAAAAAGAAAAGTGTGTTAAAGAACAGACCCAAAGGACAGGAAATATATATTAACCCAGATTACACTGTGAAAGAAAGGATAATTCAAAAGAAAATACGAGAGTTTGCAAAGAAGGAGAGAGAACACGGAATCTCTGTGAAAGTTAAATTTCAAAAAGTTGAAGTAGAAGGGAAATTATGGAAGTGGAGCAAAAAAGACGATAAACTTATAGAAGATAAGATAAGAGAAGACTCAAAAAACTAGCAGAAATTGAAAAGGAAGGAACGATGATGACATTTGCTACGGAAAAGGAATATGAACAAGAAAAAGAAAAGGGAAGAAAAAAGAAAATCGAACAAAGAAAGAAATCAGGAGAAACTGAAAATACAAAAGAAACCTTGGACGAAGAAAAGGATAGAATAAGTATTATTTTTTGGAACATATGTGGGTTGAAGAAAAAAGATAAAGACTTTTGGGGTTATATAAGGAAATTCGAGGTGGTGGGCTTGGTTGAGACTTGGGTAGAAGAAAAAAACTGGGAAAATACTAGAAATAAATTGCCAAAAGAATATAGATGGAAATCCGAACATACGAAAAGAAGCAAGAAGAGGGGAAGAGCAAAGGGTGGAATAATAACAGGCATTAAGGAAGATGTAGAAGAAATAGAGGAAGAGAGAATTAAATCAGTTGAAGGAATACAAGAGAGAAGAATTAAAATAGGGGACAATAGTTGGAGGATAATGACAGTATACAGTCAGAACGTAAAAAAGACCAGTAGAGATTTAGATGAAATAAATTATGAAATAGATGAAAAATATTGCTTGGTGGTAGGCGGGGATTTCAATGCTAGAATTGGAAACAAGGGAGCTGAATGGGAGTGGGACAAGGAAAAGGATGAGGGAAAAAGGAAATCAAAAGACCGAACAGAGAACAAAGAAGGAAAGAAACTGTTGGAGTTGGTAGAGGAAAAGGGATGGAAAATACTGAATGGGAATACAGAAGGTGACAAAGAGGGTGAATACACATATATAGGGGGGCAAGGGAGATCAGTTATAGATTATGTTATCTGTAATGAAATAGCGGACCATGGCATCAGAGATATGGAGGTTGGAATAAGGAGCGACTCAGATCACCTACCAACAATTACACAGGTGGAAAAAACTAAGAAGGAAGAGTTAGAGAACAGAAGAGAAAAAGAGATATACGAATGGAATGAGAAGTCGATTGAAGAATATAGAAGAAAACTGAGAGAGTACAATACAGGAGGAGGAACAGTGGAAGAGATGGCCAGAAAACTAAAAGTAGAGATGGGGAAGGCATCTCGTAAGAAGGTTATCAAAATGGGAGGAATAGAAAAGAGGGGAATTTCATGGTGGGACGAAGAATGCTGGCAGAAGAAAATAGAAGTAAGAAGGAAATTGAGACGATGGCTAAAGAACAGAGGTAATGAAAAGGAATATAGAAAAGAAATTAAGGACTATAAGAAATTAATAAAAGAGAAGAAAGCAAAGAAACAGGATGAAGAAGACCAGAAATTAAAGGATATAAGAACGGAAGCGGAAGCATGGAAATATATAAACCAAGAAAGGAAGATAAAAACGGGACCAAGTAAGAACATCAAGATAGAAGAATGGCGGGAATATTTTATAAGAATTTTAGAAGGCGCAGAAACTAACGAAGAACAGAAGACAGAAGTAAATAGACAGGAAACAGGCACAATAGAAGAAAGGGAAGAAATAGGGAAGGAAGAGGTGATAAGAGTAATAGGGAAAATGAAGAAAGGAAAAGCTGCAGGAATAGACGGCATTCAGAACGAACACTGGATTTACGCAACAGAGAATATAGTTGAGGGACTCACGAAAATGTTAGATAAGATCTGGAAAGGAGAAGGGTTACCAGAAGAATGGAGAGTGGGGTTAATCAGTCCCCTGCACAAGAAAGGAAACAGAGAAAAAGTAGAAAACTATAGAGGAATTACGTTGTTGAATACAACTTACAAGATCTACAGTTCCATTTTACAACATAAGTTGGAAAGGGATATAGAGGAAAAACAACTGCTACCAGAGGTGCAAATGGGATTTAGAAAGGGAAGAGGAACAATCGAATGCATAGCGACCCTGGATCACATAGTAAGGAGGGAATTAAACGAAAAAGGAGGAAAGGTATACGCGCTCTTTGTAGATTTGAAAGCGGCTTTTGATATGGTTAATAGGGAAAGACTATGGCAGATAATGAAAGACATGGGCATCAGTAAAACACTAATAGAGAGAATTAGAGAAATCTACAGAGAGACAGAAAATAGAATCAGAGTTAATGGAGAAACGTCGATGAATTTCTGGACGAAGAAAGGAGTTAGGCAAGGATGTCCATTAAGTCCAACGCTCTTTTCCTTGTATATAGCAAAATTAGAAGAAAATCTTAGGAAGGCACAGATGGGAGGGGTCACTTTAGGGAAAACAAAAATCTGGTCACTACAGTATGCAGACGATATCGTCCTACTGGCAAAAACGGGTAAAGAAATAAGAGAGATGATGAAAACCCTACAAACATTTTTAAGAAGGAGAGAACTGCAAATGAATGTAGAAAAAACGAAAATGATGGTTTTCAGAAAGGCGGTAGGGAGAAGTAAGAAAGAGGTTTGGCAATGGGAAGAAAAGACGATAGAAGAAGTAGCGACGTTTAAATATTTAGGGTATACATTTCAAAGAAATGGAAGAAGAACCCAACATTTGGAAAATACAGTAAAGAAGGCAAATAGATTGTTGAAGGCGGTATGGGGACTGGCAGAGAGAAGGTTGAAGAACGATTTCGTTAGAAGAATATGGCTCTTCGACAGCTTAATAAAAAGTGTTATTATGTACGGTGCTGAAATCTGGGGATGGAAGGAAAGGGAGAGTCTAGAACGAGTACAGGCAAAGTATTTGAAATGGACGTTAGGGTTGGAAAAAGAGACACCAGAGTACATTGTATTAGAGGAAACGAAGAGAGAAAAACTAAGAATAGAAGCAGTACGAAGGGCAATGAAATTTGAAGAGAAGATCAGGCAGAACGTTGAATGCAAAATAATGAAAGAAATGTGGGAAGAGATAAGGGTAAATTATAAGAAGACAGCGGAAGAAAGAAGAGAATTTTACGAAGTAAGAGGTCTAACGGCAGAAGAAGTAGAGAGAAAAAGGATAGAGGGAGCAGAGCCCAGGAAGGAAATTTTAAATCTAGATGAAGAGTTACAAAGAAAAGAGCAAAGGAAAAAAATAGCAGAGTCCAGATATAATCCAAAATATGGAGAAATAATAGGAGGTCTAAAATTACCGGAGTATCTAATAAGAGGGAGAAAGAATGAAGACAGAAAGACAATAGCCAGATTTAGGGTGGGAAATGAAGAAGGAGAAAACTGTTACTGGAAAGAGGAAGAGGATAGCAGATGCGGATTATGCAGGGAATTTCCGGAGACGATTGAACACTGGCTAAAGGATTGTGAAGAGTTACGGGAAGTCGAGAAAGATAGGAATGAGCTATTGAACGAAACAGGTGATGGTCTGGAATGGATGAAAATGATATTAGAAAAGAAACGAAAATAAGGAAGCATTTCGAGAAAGAATATTAGTTTAAGTTAAAATATGTTTAATTGATATATATTTGTACATATATAGATATATTAAGGGAAAAATGTAAACCGGACTTCTTTCAAGTCCCGAATGGGAAAGAAATAAACAGTTACTTACTTACTTACTTACCTAGGTCTTGGAACCTCAATAAACTTTCTTGCTAAATTTAGAAATTGACACAAATACAACTTTCACTGTTTACTTTACATAAGTTTCAATTATTGTCAAAAATCTGCTGACAGCGGGTCGCTTTATAACTTAACCTAACTACATAGTATACTAACCAATAAGTTATTTTCGAAAGATGAATCGTCATTTTAGATAATTTAGCTTTAAATGTTTTTTCATAACTTGTTACTGGCTCAGCATCTATTAATCCGATTGGAGGTATATAAGTTTCATTTACATATGCAGAATATTCTTCACATTCTAAAATAAAAATTGTAGCTCTTACAGAACACTTTTCTATACAAATAGTACAAATTAAATGTGAAAAATCTAATAAAAATAGTCAACTCATTTGAAGTTCATTGTTAGAGTGGAAATCCTTTGAAACGAACACAGCAATAAAACGTCGAAGTAGACATAAAAGCATCCGGACGGTCGATTTGCGAATTTAAGGGGAAGAAACTGTACAGTACAGGTTGGACCAGCAGTGCATTCGTTATTTGGTTTTGTGAGTTTCATGGTTTAACTTAACAGTATTTCGCTACGTTCTTTCGTGACTCACAGACTTTGATAACTCTCGTGTTCTTCTCATAGTATTTCAATGGTAATTTTAAGTCCTCAAAAATTGACTTGGAATATATAATGTAAGAAACTCTTTTGTCAGCACAGCAAACATAATTCAAAACCCAGTAAATAGTTTTCAATGTTCATTTATAACAGTGACAATTTAATATTAACCCACTAATGCAGTAAAGTAGTTCATTACCTAAACCATTGGCAAAATAAATAAGAATTAAATGTTATACATGAGTTTATACCAATTATAGTGGAACTTTTTTAGTTAGATACATATATTGTGCAAATTCAAATCAAATTAAGGTACCTAATCCTACCGTTTGTGGTTTAGCGCTATTTTATGGAATAATTACTGTGTTCGTAAGTAACCACTGACACAGAAGATCACATCTAAATATTTCTCTGTCCAATTTATCGCATAATATCTATTCCTACATACTTTTTTTACTGATTTCGCCTGGTTTTCGCGTCGCTACACTTGGACAGCAAATTATCGGGTCGAATCTGTGAAAACCGCAAATCTGAGGTAGATGATGCTGCTGGAGCTTTTTCTGTGCACTTGGACAGTCTTTAATTAATTTACAAACGCCTTGTAAACCAGTCGATTGTACAATGCACACATCATCTACAAAAAAAAAAAATGTAATATTTTGTTCAAGTATAAAAAAAATCATCAATGGCACTGTCTTAAATGATTATTTAAAAATATAATAAATGCCAAAACGGCAACATACCTAAATTTCTTTGTGAGTAAACAAATCCAACTAAGATACAAAGCAAACTTACTGCATTCTGGTTAAAGCTAATCATAGTAAGCAATGTAAAGTACAGCTTTATCGAACTGAGCCCTGTGGTAAAATAATTCGGACATGAAATGAAAGAAGGGAATATGCTGAGATAAACAAATTATAAATTAAGTAATTTGGTAAACCCACTAGCAAAATAAATAGAACATTCAAATCCAGAATGATAACCTTTCGCAGAAAAATAAGTTACGAAGGCAGAAGGTTATCTCTAGTTGTAAGAAAAAGGACTAAAATAAATGATTTTTCGATTAATGCTATTTCTTCTGTCTATGATATTCTCATTATAACCGAATCTTGGCTTTGCGAAGCAATTTCTAATACTGAATTAAGTTTAAGTAATTATAGTATCTTTAGGGCCGATCGCAATATTAACACTAGCTCTAAAGTGCGTGCTGGTGGGGTATTAGTAGCGGTAAGAAAGTAATTACATTCTTATGTTGTTCTTTGTGGGCATTCTGTGGAAAGCATTTACGGAGAGGTTAAATTTTGTGATTGGAACATAATTGTAGCCGCAGTGTATATTCCACCTGGAAGTGGTTTAAATGCTTACGAAAACTTTTGTTATGACCTGGAGTCGATCTATGATCGTGCCTCGGGCTCATATTACATTATTGCTGGTGACTATAATTTACCAAATATTGTCGCAGGCGAAAAATGATAGCGTTTATAGAGAAAATAAGTAATTGTTATGAATGAGAAAAATAAAATAAAGTGCTAAATTCTCAAAAATTTCATTATTTCTAAAAAAGTGTCAAAATAAATACATACGAGTTCCATAAAAACAGCAACTATTAGGCTCATTTCCGAATAAACCAAAGTGCAAAAAAGTGAAAATATTGTAAAATAATTTTTTTAATGTTGACACATATTTCGTCGGTATTATTATTATTGATAAACCCTTCCACAGGCTATAGCCCATTTACGGAAGACATACTAACAAAAAAAGAACAAATAGAAGAAGACAAGCATATAGACTGTTTATAGTAAAGCATAATGATTTTTTATATCTCTGAGTGTGCAGCAGAATATGTCAAGATGATTTTCAACGTTAGCGTAGCTGTGTAGCACCTGAAATAGTGGTGAAGATTTCATTATATTAGTCTTAGGAAAGGGTGCCTTTATTAAAGAGTTAAATCTTAGGCTATTTGTCGGTGCTCTAAAATATAAAAGGTTTAATATATCTTCACAGTTTACTATTGAATGCAAAATGTTTCTTAGCATAATAATAAAGGCAACAGTCCTACGACAAGAAAGACTCTGCAAGTTGAAGCGTCTGAGGAGTATATCATTTGGAATTCCTCTAAGTGGGTAAGTACCATCCTCAAGAAAACCTAAAAATTTCAGAAACCTACGTTGGATTTTCTCTAAAGAAGAAATGTGAACTTGATATATGGGACTAAATATAATGGAAGAATACTCAAGTCGAGATCGAACATACGCAAAATAAAGTGATTTTAAGATATCTTTACTCTGAAAGGCACCTGAGTTTCGGATGACAAGACCAAGTGACTTGTAAGCAGATGACGCGATTTTTTCAATATGTTTATCAAATTTTAGCTTTGCATCATAAGTAGAGAGCGGAAAATATGCAGCAAAATTTTGGGAAATATGATCATATGATATGCATCAAATTTATGCAAATATGCAGTAACTTTCTTAATGTATGCAGAGATATGCAGTTGCATATGCTTCAAAAATTAAAAGAAAATCGTAATAACGGAATTAAATTTACTTACAAATTATAAAAACAGGTTTCCCGAGCATACGTTTTATTACAAAAAATACATAAATCACATTGCAAAGTGTAAAAATATAAATATAAACAGAACAAATTGAAAAATAGTAGTAATCGACTATTTAATTACTATTTTGGTAACAGTTTATTTTTAAATATTTTTCGAAATATTCTAACAAAAAGTTTTTCTGGTGATTCTAAAATATGATTTTGTAAGTAGAAAAAGTGCGTATACTACGTCCACAGATGTATAAAATTCCTTACCGGTTTAGAGCAGACGCGACAAAACAGAGTTATTTCTTGAAGGATAAGTTCAGAAAAAGGTTTAATCCATAAATTAATTAGAGTTGTCGTCGACATATTGACACACCTGTATCGCTTTAAATGATTTCAATGCAAACTAACTATGAAAAATAAGTAGGGTAACGTCCTTTCGACCACCATAAAACATACCATTAATACGCTTAAGTAACGAACAAAAATATTGGGAATGAACGGTATTTCCAAAAATAATTAGAGCTCGAATTTACCTGGAAGAATGGCTTAACACCCGGTGGTTTCTCCAAGCTACCATAAAACCCAAACATTTACTAGTTATTTGAAGCTCAGGACAATATTTGCAATATGATTCATGAAATTTCGTTTTTCTAGATAGGTAAATGCCGATAGAATAACATTTTTTTTTCAAATTAGCACAAAAATTGATAAAAATGCAAAATATGCACCCGTTACGTGAAATATGCAGCAGAAGGCAAATATATGCAAATATGCAATTTTTTTATAGCTGTATTCCTTTTTAATTAGCATGATTCGTTCACATATTAAATATCAACACTTATATGCAAAAAATAACGGATATGCAAATTTCATAAAATCCGCTCTCTAATCATAAGTGACACCCAGATCATAAATATAGTCAAGCCTTTCTAGTATTGAATTATCAATTGCATAGTCATAAATTATTGGATCAAGTTTTCTATAGAAAGATTTTACAAAGCATTTGTCCTTGTTTAGCAAAAGCTGATTGTTAATTGACCAATTCCACAATTTACTGAGATTTTCCTGAAGATGTAAGCAGTCCTGAACTGTTTTAATTTCGCAGAAAATTTTTAAATCATCGGCATACAGTAAATGCCTTACATCAAGTTCGTCAACGACATTATTTATATATATATTGAAGAGCAGAAGACCCTGCACAGAACACTGTGGTACGCCTGACGATTGCAAAAATTTGTTGGAACGGTATCCACGATAGCAAACATATTGATGTCTTTGATGCAAATAGGATGTAAGAAGGTTAAGTAAGTTGTTTGAAAAACCGAATATTTGTAACTTATGCAACAAGATTTTGTGATCAATTCGATCAAACGCCTTAGAAAAATCAGTGTATATACAGTCAACTTGACTTCGAGCATCTAGACGTTCTGAAATATACTGAGTTTTTAAGAATAAATTAGTGACTGTGGATTTTTCCTTAACAAACCCATGTTGAGATGGAGATAGGTAAGTGGAGACGTAATTAGAGATACGAGAATGAAGTACGATTTCGAATATCTTTGCAAAATTATTTATAATTGTAATCGGACGGTAATTAGCAATGTTGCTTCTACTATTTTTCTTGTGGACTGGTGCGACCCGAGATACTTTCCATTTCATTGGGAAATAAGATTTTTTTATTATTAAATCGAAAATAATGTTTAATGGCCTACAAAAAATGGAGGCACAATCTCTAATAAGAAATGATTGTATACAATCTGGACCAGCTGTCAACGTAGGTTTGAGTTGTCTCTGTCAAATAGATAATATTTTTATATAAGCTGTCTAAACTGTTCTCACGCATTGAAGTACTGGAAACCGACAAGTTGTTAAATGATTTACCAAAGAAATCTGCAAAAGCATCTACTATATTTTGTGGTGATGTTAGCTCCGTATCATCATATTGCATTATGTTTGGTATACCAAACTTTTTTGTTTTATGTTTAACAAATGTCCAGAACTGTTTAGGGTTTACTTTGATCTCATCAGTAATACATTTTAAATATCTCTCATTAGCATCTCTAATTAGTTTTTTTATTTCTCTTCGGTACAATTTGAATGTTTCTAGAGATAGAAGCGACTTATCTTTTTTGTATTTCAGCCATGCTGTATGCTTTTGTTTGAGACTTTTAATAATGTCCTTGTCAAACCATTCAGGGTAGGTACCGAGAGGCTGCCTTTTCGTTGTCACAAAAGAATTAAAAATATTTAAGAGTTTGTCGTAAAATAACTCAATAGCCCCATCGACATCTTTTGCAGAATCTAAAAACGAAAAATCAACTTCGGATAAGTGATAATATAGGGATGGAAAGTCTGCTTTTTTAAAATTAAATTCACCATGAGTTTTGATTGGAATACAAGTTGTTTTCTCCTTCAAGAGACATACACTGACTTCCAAGGCAGGATGATGCGCATCCTCTAGGGTTAACACTTCCTCTGCATGAATTACGTGACACTCTGTATTGCTAAACACAAGATCTAAAAGACGTTCATTAGAATTGAGAACAAAATTTTTTTGGGAAAGACCAAGAAACTTGCTGAAATTGTCACAGTCATAGTAGATGTTGGATGATATAACACTGGACGAATAACAGCTAATATACTCAGGGATATTGAAATCACCTAACACGATTATATTTGACTTATAAAGAACATTTACAGACATTAAGGACTCAAAAAGAATTGAATAATCATCAACTCCACAAGAAGGTGGGACGTATAGAACAATAATATGTAGACATTGATAAAGATCTTCTGCTTTAATTTTAACCCACATTATGTCAATGTGTTTAAATTCAGCAAATCTATAGTAAAACTTTTCAAGCTCTAACATTATGACTTTTATCTCCTTCCTAGCTGCAATTAAAACACCACCACCTCTACGCATTGCTGTTGTAGAAAAATCGCGATCTTTTCTCAATACATTAAAGAGTTTTACATCAAAATATTCACCATCAAAAGAGCTTGAATTTAACCAGGTTTCAGTTAATATTATTAAGTCATACTGGGACATCAAAGTAGAGTTAAGAAGAATTTCAGAGGTTTTGGTGTTAACACCTCTTACATTTTGGTAATAAATATTTAAATATTTACTGCTATTCACTATACGCTTAGGACATTTAGAAACTGGAGATGAGGTCCTTAATTGCTATTTAATTGAAAGAATGCTAGTTTTAAATTCCGCTTTCGCTTTATGGTAAGCGTGACACCTGTTAAAGTCCCAAACTGCATGATCTATCGATAGACTGCTACTTTGTTTAGTGTTCAGTAATGTGCAATTAACGCATTGTAAGGTTTCGGATTTGC